AACAATAACGTTAGTGAGTCGATTGGAATAGACGATTTAAATTAAGAAGGCAACGTGACCTGTACATGAAATCTACTGGCAATTTCTTTTATAATCATATAGAGGGCAAAATTACTCAAATATGATTGGCTAATGAGGAGGGCATTTTTTCTTAATTCAGGCCAAAATTACTTGTATCTGATTGGCTGAGACGCAAGCGCGGAAAGTTTCTTGTTTTAATTGAATAGCAATGATAACAAGCGCTTCTCGCTTTGTCGTCGCGGATAATGATGTTAGTGAAGAATTAAAAACTTCTAGTGAAAACTTGAACACTAGAAAAAGTACAAATTTATTGGTTGGAGTATTTAAGAAATGGGCAGGCAAGGCAGCATTAGGAAACATCGGCGAAGACATGGAGACATACGAGGTTCAAGAACTTGAATCTTGACAAGTTCACAATTTACTTACGAATAAATTTTGCCCTCTATGATTAACAAGTAATCACATAGTTCCTCGTAAAATTAAGGTTTAATTTCACTTGTGTTTTCAATGTTTCACAAATTGAAACTGCGAAACTTTGAAAACACGCGTGAAGTTAAACCTTAATTTTACTCGGCCCCATGCGATCACCTATACAAATATTTACAAAGTTTCCATTTTAAATAACATGCAATTAAACTAACGTGCGTAAAAATAATTACTTAAAATAAGTTGAGTTAAATTATTAATATTTCTGATAATTGACGAATTTAAATAGTGAAAATTCTCAATCTCAGTAAACATTTGTTGTTGCAAGTTGCAGCAATTGCGAACGTTGTTCTGCTATAAGAATTATGCAAAGGGCATCACGGACTTGAACAGTTCTGAGGCTAAAGCAGCTTTTTCTCTTTGTATAAACAGTTATGGTCCTTCAAGAGCATGGTACTTATGTGGTGGTGGCGGTTTGGTACTTTGAGTTATATCCTTTGTCTCTCCTGTCTGCTCCTCTTTATCATGTCTAAGTCCTTCATCCTCCAAAGGTGTATCTTTCCCATGTGTAGCAGCAAGTTCCACACTCGATCGCTCACTCTTGGTCAATGGACCATCAACGACAGCATAGTCATACGTAAGATTTTGAGGTGATGGAACCGCGGTTCTTTGGCCAGTGCCTACATTTTGGTAGACATTGTCGGGAGTTGATTCGTAAAGTTCACATTCTCTTTGCCCCGAATAGTTGTTATTTGCTGGATAGAGTGGGTTCATAGCGTCTGCATATTCTTGTTTGGGTGGCACATCTGTATAGTTGTAAAATTGGATAACATTAAATATTGGTGGAGTGCATGCCGGTACATGCATTAGTTGCATGCGAATTGAAACCATTTTAACAAGTCATCCAAATATTTCACTTAAAAGTAGTCTGTCAAAGTTTTATGTACTAGTTGAGACATGAGTAGCCGATCTTTATCTGATATACATTGGCGAAATAATTTTTAAAATAAACGTTGTCTAAGCCGAGAAAATCAAAGCTTAAGCTTATGTAAATCCGGACAAATCTTTATCCGATTTATAAACATTGATTAAACATTAATTTCTTTTGTATTTTCTTCATGAATCATTAATGAGTTGTTTAAGTACTAGTTAAAATATGAGCAGCTGATCTTTATGGGCATTTACAACGCGCGAGCCATTGTTAAATGCCCATAAAGATCAGTTGCGAATATTTTAAAATCTTGTAAAATGAATTTATTTGTTTACTTTGCCCATCATGGGGACAATCTCACGCTTAATTAGCGTGCCATTAAAACCTGAATTAGTATATTGTTAACTTTCATAAACATCCATGCTTCTCATTGGTATAGTTAACTTTCATAAACATCCCTCTAACACGACTTTCTGATCTTTAATGCGGTTTACAAGTGTGCACATATGACCTAAATACCGCGTCGTGATTTGTTTGTGGCCTTATTAATTATTCGTGCATTTTACAAGGCTAGTTAAAGTGACAACGTCTCTTACAAACAAAGAGAATTTTTAAAAAAATTAACAGAAACAAATTAAAATTATACCTTGTCTTTCGGCCTTCCTTCTCCCGGAGCGGACAAACCTACGACGAACAAAAAGTTTGAAATGAAGTGACAATTCAAAAACGTACGTATAGTACGGCTACATTCAAATGATCGTCTGGACAATATCATGCCCAAAAACTTACTACCAATATTTTTCCCGTGCAATCGGGCAAATTATACCTGACTTAATTTTTGTGTGTGATATAGTTTCTACGAAATCTGCAGCTTTGGAATTTTATTACGCTAATTGGGTTGGTTTTCCATTGACTCAGCCATGGTTTACTTGTCCATTTTTTTATTATTGACAACATCGGCATGTAATCCCAGTGTATCAGTATATGTTGTCTGGTATGGTTTGTATAACTACTTTTCCTAGAAAGGATGAATGTAAAAACTATATAATACAATGACCAGAACTATAGTACCATGCGACAGGTCAGATATACTGCACCCTCTAGAGAAGCTTACCTGTTTCTGTATCTGTATATAACGAACACTACGACACCAGTTAAAAAAAGGACGACCAACACACAGACAATTATAATTATAGTTTGAGTGTTGTCTTTATCACCACCATTGTTCTTTTGGTCTGCATCTGTTTTGTCTTTGTTAGTTTTATCACCACCATTACCATCATTATTATCACCATCATTATCACCATCATTATTATCACCATTATTATCGTCACCATCATTATCATCACCATCATTATCATCACCGTCATTATCATCACCGTCGTCGTCACCATCATGATGAAAACCTGTTGGATTAGGTTAGGTACATTATATTAAAAATAATTACGTCTATATTGCCTCAGAAGGGAGCTATTTAAAATGGAGCTATATGTTTTGTACAAGGCATAGTAGCAATGAAGATCCTTTGCTATTCACACAAAATCTTGCACAGTGGTTAGTGCATTATAACATGTATAACCAGGGGTCCATTGCTGCAATATGCTGTTATAAGTGATTAAATATTCTCGCCTCGATTACAGGGTAGACTAGTTACAGTTTGATACATTACCAGATACCATGTATGTTTTCTTATAGGTAGTCCTGTTTGCCCCTCTAGTAAACATTGGAGATCGTAAGAGAGCAACTATTTAGACAGAACTACCGATATAAATGCTATTCACTATAATCGTGAGGAGACTACATACTTTCATATGAAAAAATTTGTGGATTGATGCTTACCTTTAAAAGTTCCGGTGTATTTAATTACGACGCAGTGTTCAGTTTTACGAATCGTTGCAGCACTTGGATCCTCACACTCGAATCGTACCTTAACCATTAGGCCTCCCCAGGTTTTTGGAGTTTTGCTCAAATCCCATTGTAAATAAAAACCTGCATTTGGGAGGGATACTTTGTCCGCTGTAATTGCGAAACTGCCATTCTTCATTTCCAATGTTTCCCATGTATCATTGTGTAAATATTGAGTTTTATTTGGCAAGAGGATACATTTCGTCTTGCTCAAACTGATTTCCTTATTTCCCAAACAGTCTGACTGGTCTTCACATTTTGTTTTATCAAGGATGAGGAGAGGCGAACCATCTGCGAATGTCTCACATCCTACAGCTAAGAAGAAAATATAGGGAATCAAGGTATGTGCAATTTTTTTGTCAAGATGTTTTATAAATTCGATATACAGGGTGTCTAAAAAAAACGCTATGGTAATTCAACAGGCTGTTGTGCATCACAAACTTAACTAAACAATTCAATTTTTACATAGGACGAAAGAGCTGTTATTTAGCTTTTCTATGATATATTTCTTAAACCGTAACGATGAGAATTGGCCATATACTCGTCAAATAAAAAGTTTCGGTCGAAATCACATTCTTCCACCGTTGGGAATTGGAACTACATTAATTATGCAAAGTTAATCACTCCAAAAGCACCGCGAGTCTGCTGCAAGGTACTTGTTTCGTAAAACGTTTTGATTACGAATGTTCTCTGTTCATGCAGGGTTAATTGAACCATGTTTAATGCAATGACGTTCTTATGCTCTCACTAAGACGAAGATTGACGAGTTGAGCTTATTTTAGATAATTTAACATTCAATTCCCTCTTTGGGAATTGTTTATGTTTCGTTTTCCATGCAATTCCCAACGGTGGAAGAATGTGATTTCGACCGGCAATTTTTATTTGACGAGTATGGCCATTTCTCATCGTTACGATTTAAAAAGAGTATCATTCAAAAACTAAATAACTGTTCTTTCGTCCTATGTAAAAATTGAATTGTTTAGCCACGTTTATGATGCACGACAGCCTGTTGAATTTCCATAGCGTTTTTTTGACACACTGTATGTAGGCGGTAAAAGTTTGCAAGGGAATTAAAGTGTATAGCAAATATGAGTCACCTTAATTCTCGTGGTACAGATAAACGAAGGTAAGGGTTCTATGGAATTTGATGGACTTATATTTTAGGCGGGAAATAATAATATTTAAAATATAGTAAATTTAGCTGGAACAAAGGTTACATGCACTTGTGTTAGGGACCGGTCATTATTTATGGCGGGGGGTGGCACCGAAGAGAAAACGGTTGGGTAAACAAAATTTTGAGTGAGTAAAAGGTTGGGTAAGTGAAAAACAAAACCACTCAAAAGTTGGGTAATAAAAATTTATTGTCAATTCCAAAGCATGACTCACTCAAATATTGAAGACTGAAAACTTCAAAGTCAACAGTCATATGTCAATACAATATGTGAATCAATCTATATCTTCATCATTTTCCGATTTGTTGGGAGACAAATGGTGTCTCCAAAGAAAGCAAATGTGCAGACAACATGAAACTTTAGACTGCAGAAAAGTCAGTAAATTTCACAAGCCGAACGTTATCAAACTATCAAACATTCACAAGCCGAACGTTATCAAACGTATCACAGAAGTGGTAAAGGACTACTAAGAACGTCTGCGAGGAGACTGTCATGTGTGACAACTGAATGACATCCTTTTGTAACGTTTTTGGCCAGGGGTGGGTATTTATTTTTTAAATGATACTTGAGGTTGGGTAATCAAATTTTTGATTTTTTAATGGTTGGGTAAGCAAAATTTTTGCCACGAAAAACATTTCTCTTCGGTGCCACCCCCCACCATAAATAATGACCGGTCCCTTATTTGAGATGGATATCTAGGGATTCAACTTTCTGAAAAATACAAGTAAAACTTCGACGTTCGAGCGAAGGCCCTTTGCTGGGAAGTTAGTTCTGCCAATCTCTTAACGTTGAGACTATTGGGCTAGACGTTGCACTAGAAAAACTGTCGTTAGCTTAGGGAGTGGTCATTTATGGGGTGGTAGGGGGGCACAAGCTAAAATTTTCCATAACCCCTCTCTTGAGGAATTGTTGAAATTCACCACCCCTCTCATTCGCACGTTCAAACAAATTTGAACCCCTCTTCAAGAAAATCGTTTGAACAAGTATATCCATAAATTCAAAACAAAATAAACGTTGAGTTTTATCATTGCAATTTCAGAAACACAAAGTTTTCTACTGACCTTGTACTTAAAATTATCAAGACCAACGTTATTATTATTGGCGCACTAGAATTTTATAAATTTAATATAAGGGCTGAGACTAAAGTTGTTTATTTTACAGCTTGGCATGTGATAACACAATATATTCATTATCTACAGTGTAGTAATTATTTCGATTTGTTAAGTTTGTTTATGTATCAGTTATTTTGTTTGTGCATTAATTATTTTGTTTTGTTTTTAATTATTTATCAAAACCTTTAAGACTATTTTTCTAGTAACCCCTCCTTCTTCAAGTCAAGAATCAACATAACCCCTCCTTCAGCAACTTTCCAAATTTTGTAACCCCTCCTCAAAATCATCCACCCCCTACCACCCCATAAATAATGACCACTCCCTTATTTGGCGCTATAGTGTGTCTAAACGTCCACTCATGAATGCCTGAAGAGGTATTTTATTAATTCATTGTTAAATTTCAGAATCTGACTATACCTTGTGAACAGACATCATCTTTTTTGGAACCAAAGCGCGTCCATTTTGATCGATAACCCCAGTAATATTTTTTTGTTGTCACATATCCAAAATGTTCTCCGTGGCACATGTATCTGCCTGACTGTGTCTGCTTGATCCTCTCACCCACACATTCCCATAATTGTCTCTGATTATTTCTGTCACATTTATTCATCGTCACATAATATTTGTAATTATCGCGTGAATGGAGATCACCTGCCATACATTCCAATGTCTGCCAGTTAAAGAGTTGTCCAAAGTTGGTCCAGATCCAACGGTAATCCCAGTTATCGTACCTACATGTGCCTGCCTGGACAAACGTTTGCTTGGTGTTGTAGATTTTTTGGTAAAGACACAAGTTGTTCTGCATGAGGAATGAGTCTTCATAAGCTGTAAAGCAATAAAAAATGTATAACCAAGGCACTGTGTTTAAAACCAATCATCCACAGATATTTATGGACCGAATAATTTTGTCCTCTTTCCATTAGTTTATCAGATCCAGAAAAAGCTTTCGTTTTGTCAGCAGTCCTTTGTTTCTTGGTCTCAGCATTGTTTCATATCCACATTTTACTTAGACTAAAAAATCTCCAAGTGAAGACCATTTTTGCATTGGGCAATTTGAACGGTTTACTTATATCTTATACGTCGTGATTCTGACCATCAGAATTCTGTAAAATATATATTCCTTCAGAGGGCATGAAATGAGGGCTTAAAATTTTTACCGGGGGGGGGGACATACCGACCCAAAAGCTTGAAAAAATCACTATCCTGTGGATAGCGCTATCCGGCCTTCGTACAACCGCCCCCTGGTGTATAAGACGCTCACCTTGGGGGCTATCGTGCGTTTTCTGTTTTGGGCGGCCCTTTCACCTTATTTTCTGTCCACGTCCATTTCATCGGACAAAAAGAACTTCCTCCCTCCCCCCTCAATGTTTAGATCCAAGGTTATGCACTGATTTGCATTTTCTTTCTTTAACGTCTCTTCCGTTTGATTTAAGAGCCAAAAAGACCATGAAAATGTCGTTTTTCTCTAAGAAAATGTATTGCATTTTGTCTTAGAATGTACCGAGTGTCTCACAAATGCATGTATGTATAACTGCTAATCGCTGTATGGCACTTTAAAGGAAGAGCCTTTGGTCAAATCCGGAAGAGCCTTCGGAAGAGCCTTTGGTCAAATCCGTTGGCCGTTGCGATCTTCACCTATTTGCCAAATTGGGATGAGAATCTGCTGCACCTCGTACACAATAGTCAATTAAAGCCAGTCAAATGTACATACATTACTGTCAAATGTACCTGACATTACCGCGAAATAATCAATTGAAAAATTAAAATAGAACTTGCGAATGATCATAATAACTTATGAACATTTTCACTTTTCTCAAGAATATTAATTTTTGACTATCCAAAACACAAGAGCAAATGACTGCCAATATTCACACAGGAAAGTGAAAAAATGATTTATCATTGAAAAATAAGGGAAGCGTCACCCCCACACCCTTGCTTGCTGCTACAATGAGAGGATTTATAGCCTGATAACAGACCTACGTTTCACCCGCCCTAAAATTCGTCGACGGAAAGGGCGAAACGTAGGTCTGATGAAAATGTTGTCAAAAGCGCCTTCCGGCCACATTGCATTTTGCAATAATTAACGATGATGATTGACATAACATGTAATACCTAAAAATACAATGAAAGTTGTCGATTTCACTTTATTGCAAGTTTGTAAACCAGTAAGAGTCAATAAGTACAGATATTCGAATAAATATTTAAAATATTGGTAACCCCGTGGAGCCCGTTGCTTTAAATAGTACTTAAACCTTTGTAAACAAACAGTTACAGCTAGTAATAATACAACATTTTCAACACATTCTATAAATGCGATAAAATCTGCCTACGCAAATTTGGCAATGGCCAATGTGCCTTTGTTGAATTGCATCCCAACTCTTACAATTTATACATTTGAAATCGCCATACAATGGTAAAATCTAAATAAAATATTTTGTACGTGCTATGTTATTATCAAAATGTAAATCATGAATGCGCACATATTATTTGTATCCGAGTTTTATTATGATTAATCACAAAACTTAAATCGTGTATAAAAAATTATATATTGTATTGTTTATTACAACGGAAAGATACAACGCTGAAGAATTTGACACGTACTGCACTACTCCCCTCTAGTTTTAATTTTAGACGGTAGATACTGATCATAGACTAGTTGTCGTTCGGCATCACAAAATATTTATAATATTACACTGTATGCATATTTATATGCGTTGATTTACCGTTGAAAATATTCTGATCTTTTCAAATCTTTTCATGTTAGCGACCAACCAATCACAACCCATTTCCCTGTGAATTAGCCAATCAGCTTTGTCGACCGCCAGGCGGTCGACTTACATGCACTTTTGACAACATTTTCATCAGACCTACGTTTCGCCCTTCGTCGACCCGCGAATTTTAGGGCAGGCGAAACGTAGGTCTGTTATCAGGCTAGAGGATTTATGGCAGATAAACAATTCTCAACCAAAACATAATTTTAACCTAAAAAAGACCCTTGTCTCGTGAGCAGAGAAACGAGGGCTGTCAAATATGACCTTTTAAAAAACTTTACTTTTGTATAGTTTTATAATATAAGTGGGATATAACAGACCATTTGATTGGCTAATGCGCGTGCGTTGTGACGCAATAATACACTGTCACAGATGACTAGATGAGGTAAATATATCTCTCCTCTGTGACACTGTGGTCCGTGGCACTGCCTTACTCTTTCTGTGTTTTTTCCGCTTCATCTCTTCTTTTTAGCCAAAAATAAAACAAAACTACAGAGCTTTTAAAATACAAAATTTATCACAAAGCAAGAAGGAATAGACCAAAGCAACAATGCAATTTTATCCACAGTTCTACGTGTAAAAGCAGTAAAATTAACCGTCGAATTTGTTACTCTTTCGACAAGTTTTAGGCAAAAGTGTGCAAAATAGCTGAGAAAAACCTTGAAAAAGATATAGAAATACCAAAAACTTAGAAAAAGGCACCTTCAATGCTTGTGATAAAAACGGCTAAATATACTTTCGGCGAAAAGCAAAAAATACAATAATTTCAAAAATTAAAACTGAGCAACACGACGAAACCTACGATTTAACGTCTTTCATGGCAAATCCAGCAGCCCAGAAATTAAAAAACATTAGTAAAAAATTAGTCTGTGTATCACTGTTTCTTTCCACAGCATTTTAAACAGTTTGTTCCGCAGCTTTAGCATCAAAATTGTATCAAACTTTTGTATTGTTTTTGCTCCTTCGCTCGCTTAAAAATTCAAGCAACAGTGAAAACATGCGCGTGACGTCACTGAGCACATGTTAGGAGAATTTCAAAGTCGATCTTTTGAGAGTAGAAGATATTGCATAGTCAACAATTTTACATATATACTAGAAGTTACTATCGCAAGGAAAGTGCTGCCTCACTCCCAAAGTGATCAAAGGCAACATGCACAATTTGCTGAATAAAGCCCCGTTTACACGAGCAAATTTTATTTGACAAATTTCATATGTCAAAGATATTTTGCTCGTGTAGATGTAAATTTGTGACAAATTTATTGTGACAAATGTATTTGAACAAAAGCTAGCATGCATTTGATCAAATGAAATTTGTCAAATAAAATTTGCTCGTGTAAACGGGGCTTAAGGAGCTGTTCGTATGATCCCGCTTTGCCAGGATTTGGACGAGATTTGAGACAGGATTATTTTGATGTATTGAAATATTAAAGTCACAGTGCATGATTCAGCCAAAAACTACATTATATTTTCGTAAGATACATTATATTAAAACTGTAAACGAACTGTTTTTCAAGCAGCAATAATATTCTTCTTGAACTACAAGATTTCTCTACAACATTTGAGTTCTTTTAACAACAATTTGAACTTTCGTTTGGCTTATAGTGACTTATTTCAACCGCCTTCCAACATGTAAACAGCCCCTAAGGAGGCTAAGATGGCTGTTCAGGAGGTGACAAAGTCGAAACTCAGTTAAATATTCTAATTCCACTTTTTTGGCATGGGTGGTTTTATATGAATACCATCAATTCTTATAATTATTTCTTGCTTTTGTATGTATAATTATAATACTGTCTGTGGCAAAGCTAGCCATAGCAACAGGTCATGCTATAAAAGTTTTTAATGATTTGTATTATTCAAGTGATGCAGGTTTATTAGCATAGCATGACCAGTTGCCATGGCTAGTTTGCCACTGAATACTGTATAATATCAAATATAGGAATACGAAGTCAGTTTTTGTCCCAATTATGGTTTTAATGGCACCGTCAAGGCTACCCCTACAATCTGCTGATGGGGAGACAAAATCTATTTGTTGACATTTTGTATCAATATGTCAGCACATCAGATGACACCATTCATTGTAATGATTAAGAATTTAAGATTGTACTCAGTCAGTACTGCAAAACTATATAATAAGAAAGAAATTGTAAGCATTACCAAAAAATATAGTATACCCTGAAATATAGTGACACGGTCAGGTGAATATATGAATGCAGGCTGGTAGAATTATTTCATATTATGCTAACAATGGACATATCTCAGAGATACAGTATAAGCGTCACATAATACTTTGTACAAAAGTCAATTCTTGGGTTTCATATGACGTCACATGTGTAAAACAAAACACAGTTATCAGAGTGAGTCGATTGCTCGTTTTATTTACAGCCTTGTGTTTGGTGACAAATACATGGAATTTCGTATCATTATTCTCACTCCAGTGCAGCATAAGCATCAATACATTTGAGGTTCACCCCCCGTCAGATTCATTGCATAATGCCAAAGTGAAACCCAAAAATAGACATTCTATTATGAATTTATGCACCAGTCAAAGTAACCCCCCCCCCTGGACAATGAAGGGATTTGGTGGGGGATTTAGTGGCTTTGGTGGGGATTAGTGAATTTTTGTCATCGAATTCTGTCCTAGCCATGTTGGGAATTTGTTGGTTTTGTCACTGCGCCGAATTACGCCAGGAAGATAGTGGGGATTGTTAGAGGATTGTCGGCAGCCATTTTGTACTATTTTGTCCAGTGGAATCCCCCAGATTCTACCATTTTATACCATGTGACAAAGGTCAAAATGGCATGCTCGCAAGGAAATCAAGAGGTATTTATAAATATAAATTTGCTATAATTCACTAATTACACTAGTTTGATATTAGGAGATAAATTCGCTCACACGACTTTTCCCCAAGGAGGTGGGGCATTTTTTGTCTTTTGCTAGAAAATTTTGTCCACTATGGTGGGGGCATTTGTCTGTTTTGGGCCTTGGCACACTATTCAGAGGCAACCCCACCTATATCCCGGGGTTGGGATTTACTGTGACTGGTGCATTACATTTAACGTACTGTTTAATAAACGAGCAGGAGTGTTTTATTAGGTTTAAAGACACGAGCGCGCAGCGCGAGTGGCTTTAGATCTAATAAAACACGACCTGCGAGTTTATTAAACGGCTTCAAACACGACTATACAAATTCAATAGATATACCGCCTTATTAGTATTCTTTATATAAAAAATACTAATGAGGACACGACAACAATAGATACTGCCTTATTAGTATTCTTTATATAAAGAATACTAATTAGGAGTGTTTTATCAGGTTTAAAGCCAGTGCACGTGACATATTATAGTTGACATGATTTGCCAATAAGCTTATGAATTATTAATGAGTGTTTGAATGCTGGTTTAATATGTGCAGACAACATTGTCACCAATCCACACTGGGTTGCTATAGGAATCTTTATATTAAGCCTGGTTATTATTGAAGACGTGCATACATCTAGAATGAACACTATTTCGAACACTATAGTCTATAAACTCATCCCTTGGGCCTTGGCATATTGCCACACAAACAATACACTAAAAGTACATTTTGACTCCTTGTATAAATAAGACATTATTGACGAATAGATGAAGACATTCAAGACAACCTCGAAGACATTTTAATAATAGACAACCGCTAAATAAAAATGACCATAAATATATGAAATTATATTGTTTCAATACTTTATCAAAACGGCAAATGTAAAATGCCTTCATGTATATCACCAGAAAGATATAAAGCCATGCTTACCTGATTTATTCGTTAAAATTCGACAAACTGCATGTATTAAAATAATAAAGCTCGTATTGAGAAGAATCATGCGCACGCTATTGAATACAAAATAAGTTTGACCGCCCCCCTCGTTTATAAAAACGTCCTGAAGCCTTAATTATTTCCCCGGAAATGCGAAATCCCGACAGACAGACACAAAATCGAGATCTCGACAATACATAGATCGCGCGAAAGACTGGGTCGAGTGGACTCTGAAGAAACCATAGCACGTCAAGAATAGTAGCAAACCGAAATAGAAAAACTCGTCTCGTGCGTTTATGGTGTGACAATGCACTTGGGTAATGTTGGAAGAATACTCCAGAAGCGTGTATTATCACACCATTAACGCACGCGACTCGTTTTCTATTTCTTGATTAAACGTCATGCTGTGTGCTATATAACGCCGAGACATTTGGGTTAATTTGTGTAAATTTTATCAAAATATTTTGAAAAAGTTGATTTTTTCACTATAGTATAGGCACTTTTAAAAATCAAACTCTATTTAAATTTCTGATATAAACCAACATTGATTTATTGTACATTCTATAGCCAGCCTTTATAGCATTATGCAAGATTTCCCAACTCATGCAAGTAATCCAACTATATATGTACTGTTTAAAAAACTCATTAATAAATCACGAGGAAAATACAAAAGAAATGAATGTTTAATCAATGTTTAAAAAACTCATTAATAATTCATGAAGAAAACACAAAGAAAAATCATAAGCGTGTCGTATCTGTATATGTGATACAGATTCATGTTGATTTACATAAACTTTAACTTTGATTTACTCGGCTTAGACAACGTTTACTTTTAAAATTACTTCGCCAATGAACTCATAAGATGAGTCGTTTTTTAAGCCATTTACAACATGAGCGGCCGTGTTGTATCGGAAATACAAACTCTCGCCTTCGGCTCGAGTTTGTATATCCGATACAACACGGCCGCTCATGTTGTAAACATTACTTGTAAATCGGATAAACATATGTCCTGATTTACATAAACTTTAGCTTTGATTTTCTTGGGTTAGACAATGTTTATTTTTAAAATTACTTATTTATTTTGAACATAGAAGCGAGGAGCTGAATCAGAATAATACTTTTGGAGTTGATTCAACTCCTTGGAATTTACAGTGTAAGGGTTAAGGATTAGTTTGGGATAGAGGTCAAGATCAAAGAGAATATATTCGTAGGTAAAACTTGATGATATTGCGAGAACTATATCAATATATATACCGCTTATACATGCTGAATTCTGTGGTTTATTCATGGTTAGAATTAAGTATAAGCGTTGGCCGCCCAGCGTTGAATAGAATGCTTTGGTTGAAAAAAGTTAAAGGTGTATTAATTTGTTCAGATTGAAGAGCTATCTACAATATCAGTTAAAAGGCTTGCATTTATTAAAATAAGTTTGTAAACAATATCTATATCATTTAATTAAGCCAGCTGATTAAGTCTTGGAAAATATGAGACAAACTCAGAGACGCAATCAGATATATATACGATTATCTTCATCTTTAAGATATATGTCGTCATCGACTAGTATTAACCTAGATTCTGTATATAAGTAGAATTAAATGAAGGGCTTTGTCGTTATACAATTTTTACAGCAACTTACATGTTGCGTAGACCATCAACTCGTTTGAGACACACTTCCCATATTGTCCTCTTGTTTGTACAAATGTCTGATTCACCATACACTGACAGTCAACACAGCTTTCATCGGAACAAACAGCATTTGACACGTTACAATGAAATACATTTGTGAATCTGTCGCGTTCTCCTCGGAATATTACCACATCCTTGCCGTTGGCTTCATATAACGTCGATGTTGCCAGACAAAGACAAAACACCACTGACAATGATATAAACTGCATATTGAATAGTTAATGGAGAATATTTAAGACTTTAACCTTCTTGAAAGTTTCCCAGAGAATGTTTGCTATTGTCGCATATAATCTGAGTAATCTAACTTGAACATCCAGCGGTAATTTTGTCTGCGAGTCTCCTGCCGATAATTTGAATGAATAAATTTAAATTCAAGTAGTTACATCCCACGCCTTCCTTTGGTAAAAGCGGAAGCTCCACGACCAAGCCTATTTGCAGTTTATTTACAATATGGTTGAAACAATTATTGTATACACTATTGTTAGGCAATTGAGCCGTTATTTTATCTTTTATCTCGCCTTGGCTTGCCCATAATATTTATGACAGGATATAGGAAATCCCCTTTATGACAGGATATAGGAAAGCGAGGGTCATGGCCATGACTTCACATAAGTTTGCTTCTCTATAAAGCCTAGTTTACACAAGCAAATTCAACTTAGCAATTTGGGTATTTCTTTACTTAATTCTTTATAAATTTGACTGAATATCCACGCGTAGCAAAACTCTCATCAAAAGATAAACATCAGGTCAAGGCCCGTCAAGTTAAGTTAAACTAGTTCAGAATTCATTATAGTCGATGAGACTTGGTAGGCAAACCGAATCAAGTTGCAACTGTCATGCATCAAATCTCATCCTCGTTTGACCAAGGCGTAAATCACGTTGTGGGTGAACCGATAAAGAAAGCTCACTGTAAGAGATTGGAGATTTTGGTCGAACTACCTGAAGAAAAATTAAGAAAACGTCGACATTTCGAGCGATGGCCCTTCGCCTGGAAGTTATCAAGCTTCGTCTGGCAACTTCAGGGTTACCCTGGTTCCAGAGGCTCTTTGCGAGGCGAAAGAAACGAGAGGCGAGAAGGCCTTTCGTTTCTTTCGCCTCGCAAAGAGCCTGTGGAACCAGGGTAATTCAGGGTTCGTACAAAACTTGAAAGTCCTGCTGAATTTGAAAACAAAAATTAAATGCCTTGAAAGTCCATGGATTTTTAGTGAAAAGTCGTTCAGTTCGTCTTGCTTTAGTTTTTGAATGTTTTCTGAAATTTGTTCATTTTCCATTCGGTCAAAATTGACATGCTGTTGAATTGATTTTGTTCATGTCATCTTGCACTACTGTTTGAAATTCATTAAAGTTTTTTCACTTTTTTCAGGGTTAATTTATCTTGCGGAATCCCTTGAATAACAACGTTTATGAGTCGATTGGAATATACCATTTAAATTAGGAAGGCAACGTGACCTGTACATGAAATCTCCTGGCAATTTCTTACAAAATATTTACAAAGTTTCCATTGAATAATGTGCAACTAACGTGCATGAAAATAATTAGTTTAAATAAGTTGAGTTAAATTATTACAGGGAAATAATCAAATAAATATTTCTGATAATTGATGAATTTAAATAGTGAAAATTCTCACTTAACATTTGTTGTTGCAAGTTGCAGCAATTGCAAACGCTGTTCTGCATGCTATAAGAATGATGCAAAGGACATCATGCATGATCACTGACTTCAACAGTATACTCTTTGTTTTAACAGTTATGGTCCTTCAAGAACATGGTACTTATGTGGTGGCAGTTTGGTACTTTGAGTTATATTATTCGTTTCTCCTGTCTGCTCCTCTTTATCATCATCCTCCAAAGATGTATCTTTCCCACCTGCAGTTGCATCAAGTTCCACACTCGATCGCTCACTCTTGGTCAATGGACCATCAACGAAAGCATAGTCATACGTAAGATTTTGAGGTGGTGGAGCCACGTTTTTGTGGTCAACGTCTACATACTGGTAGACATGGTTGGGAGTTGATTCGTAAAGTTCACATTCTCTTTGCGAAATATTGTTATTTGCTGGATAAAGTTGGTTCATAGCGTTTGCATACTCTTCATTGGGTGGAACATCTGTAGTTATAAAATGGATGACATTAAATATTGTTTCATGTGAAACCTTTTCAAAGAGTAATACAAACACGTGTTTACTTCAGTCAAAAGTATCTTGTCAATTATGTAAGACTGGGGTTGCTTACTGTATAATAACGAGCCTATATACATATACGATACATGCAGTGACAAGGATTAAAGTTACTAATGATTTCCCTCAATATGAAGTAAGATTCAGTTAATTTATAGCTCTGGATACTGTGTTAAGAAAATTAAGGAGATCAATATTGATAGATATCCTGTGTAATTTATTTTAGAAAACCACCGTTGGTATTTACATTAAATATATATAGGATGTTGCGGTATTGAAAAAAAAACCGATACCGGAAAAAATACCGATATTTTTCCGCGATTGTATATTATATTGTTTATCCGTGCATGTATTCTCGTTATTTTATGAGATGTCCCTTATGAGCCACTGGTATGAATTAACCGTTACATTTTTTCCAATGTCGTGCCTTCTAAACAAAGACAACTTTCACTTTTTTCAAATTAGGAGAAAAAAAATTATACCTTGTCTTTCCGTATTCCTTTTCCTTGAAAGAAAAAACCTATATGAAGATACAAGGTTGGTGAACAAAAACATATACGTACGGGTTTAATTCAAATAAACTTCTGACCAATATCAGGCCTAAAAACCTCAATCTGGTCAATTTTTCGACATTGGACAGATTTAAAGGCGATTTAAACACAAGATTTAAATTTGATAGGGTTTCTAAGGAACCTGTAGCTAGGTAACAGGTTATTTCCGAATAACTCTCTAGTTGTCAAAAACAATAACGCGGAGGAGTGGAGGCTTCGTGCAAAATTTGTTATGGAAACAGTATAACATTGCACGAAGCCTCGTTCTCAGGCTGTTGTCTGTGGGCATTCGACCGTAGTGTCCTTCTATATTACCCCACTTGAATTAGTTTTCCTGTATCATTCAATGATTCATTAGGCAGATTTTTTTAGGATTGGCAAGATTAATCTCTATATGTTGTGTTGTGGTATTGACTAGTTTTCGTAATTTTTATTGGACGATGCAAAAGTAACAGTTGAATATCTAGCTACAGCAGGATTTATGTTTTACTTGTTATACCCAGGCTAGGCTTATTAAAAAGGTTTACCTGTTTCTGTGTTTGTATATAATAAAAACTATCACGCCAGATAACAACAGGGCGACTACCACACAGACAATTATAACTACAGTTTGAGTATTGTCCTTATCTCCACCATTGGTATCTTTGTCTGTTTTGTCTTTGTTGGTGTTGTCGATACCACTATCACCATCTTTATCATCACCGTCGTCACCATCACCATCTTCGCCACCGCCATCCTCACCATCACCACTATCTTCGTCATCATTACAAAAACCTGTTAAAGTAAATAAATAAATAAGCTAGAGGGCACTCGGAGACTGCATTGAGTTATGTATCATGCACAAATTATACAATAGGTTAATTACGTAATCGGTTTACTGTACCCGGCAAAGCAAGACAAATCTTCACTCAATTTGTCCTTGGGTAGTGTCCAGTAGTGCCACAAATTTTCGTATTAATACGTTTTGTGTTTTTTCGAAATGAGTTGCTGTTGGTACAGTGTTGGTACAGTGTTAGTACATGCACTTCTGTCACCAGGGTTTGATTCTTGCAGAGTGCAGATGAATGATTAGTCGCCCTAACCCAAACTGGACCTCAAGGAAGAACGATTTAGGCTGCGTCCAGACTGGGTGCCCGGCACTGGTGCCCGGCACTTGTTTTGGCTCCCAGTTTGAACACGACGCTTTCAAATGAAATTGGGCACAGTGCCCAAGAACGGGCACTACCTCTAGAGGTAGTAGTCAACAACGGCACTGTGCTCAACATGTTTTGTGAACCATTTTGAACATTGGGCACCAGTGCCGGGCACTCAGTCTGAACGAGCCCTTAGACTGGAGTAAAGAGTTTCTCATATAATCAGATGTGTAGCTAGATCAAGTCATTAATTATTTGAATCATGAAAACACTAGTGTATATATATACAAAAATTATTTTTATGGATCCTTACCTGTAAAGGTTCCTGTGTATTTTATCACGACGCAGTGTTCAGTTTTTGTTGCAGCAATAGTCTCACACATAAACTGTACCTTAACCATTAATCCACCCCAGCTTTTTGGTGTCTTCGTCAAATTCCACTGGAAGCAAAACAAATGGAATTCGCCTTATTCGTTTTACAACCTATATATACTGAATATAGTTGTTATTCATGCATATGAAAAATTTCGGCTGTTCCAAATTTTCTGGCAATTCACTCAACCAGAAATTAAAAAGGAGAGATCGCAAATAATATACTGTACGAACAACGTCATATACTATGTCTAATATAGCAAACATTTGAGATACCTTTAAAGATACTTTGTTAGCTGATGAAGATATGAAAAAGTTTCCATTCTTTTTTTCCAACGCCTTCCACGTATCATTGTGTAAATATTGAGTTTTATTTGGCAAGAGCAAGCATTTTGCTTTGCTGAATTTGATTTCTTTCTCTCCCAAACACTCTGACTCTTTTTCACATTTTGTTTTGTTAAGGATGACGAGCGATGAACCATCTGCAAATGTCTGACATCCTACAGCTGAAATGAGAGTATAAACAGTACGTCAAGGTATGGTTAATATTTGTATTGACTCAAAATATTGATATACATGGGAGATAATCATGCATGCAACCTTTATAGCGAGGACGCCTTTCAGTGCGTATAGAAAAAGTTTCACGAAAATTGACTAGATTGTATTCTAGAGTAAAAATTTTAAATGGAAAATGTTTTTATATAGGGCTTTCATCGCCAACTTGTCATTAAATATATTTTCTAGAAAGTTAGTTTCTAGAAAGTGAAAAATAGACTTTCAAAAATTTACACTCTTCTCACCAGCCGCGGTGAAATCAGCCAAAACTCTCGTTGACTGATCAAGAATGCTTGACAGCTAGCTCGAAGTCGATTAGGGTAAATGAGAGTTATCAAATATCTTCCCTGATTTTATACAGTTTGTACTAACTTACGAAAGAAACAGTTCTGATCTGCCAATTTTGTATTCTGTTCAAGAATTGGTTTTATGCATTTAAAAATTACCTTGTGAACAGACATCTTTCTCTGAACCAAAGCGCTTCCATTTTGTTTTATTGGATGGCTGAGTGTTTTTCGTTGTAACAAATTGAGTAACTTCTCCGTAGTACATGTATCTGCGCGATAGTGACTGTATGATGTCGTATTTCTTGTCACCAACACATTCCCATAATTGCTTTTGATCAGTGCTTTTGTCACATTTCTTCATCGTGGGGTAATGCCGGCCACCACCAATGAAATCATCTGTCATACATTCCAAGGTTTCCCAATTTAAGATTTGTCCAAAGTTGGTCCAAATCCAACGGGAATCTCTGTTTTTGTCGTTACATAATATAGAGCTTTCAAGGACAAATGTGGTATGATCAAGGAATTTTTGATAAGTACAGGACTTAGAAAGGTTGTTCTGCACAAGAAACGAGGCTTCATAAGCTGTAAAAGATATGAAAAAGTAATATAAGTTATTTGTACTTTTGCAGTTAATCCCGCATGCTGAGTTAAAATTTCAGCTCAAACCGGGATGAAATCTGTTTAAATTCGTTGAAGAATTTAAAATATTATGTCTGTTATTTAAATTGTGCGAGACTGTGATTGCCTTTGAAAATAGAACAAACAAAAATAAAGCCATTTAATTTAAAGGATTGTGTTTTCAACTCGGGCTGAAATTTCGAGTCGATTACATGACGCTTTTCCGCCTGGTCAACCGACTCATCCCGCTTGCTGTGTTTTATTAAAATTCTGTTTTAATTGAACGTCATGCTGCGCACTGCATGATTATATAGAAATGTTTGTTGCTACGAGACGTTTGGGTAAATTCGTGATTTGATCTGACAAAATATTTTGAACTGGTCAGTTGATTTATACACTTTTGACACCGAGATAGACACTTAAATCAGACTCTATATATTTCCGATATGAACCATGCAGCCTATAGCTAAGATTCATTATACAAGATTTCCCAAGTCATCCAACTATATGTATATTTATAAGTAATAGCATGGCATTCAGGGCGATTAGTGATTAAATGTACCCGAAAGCCGAGAGAGGTTTACTAAACCTCTCGAGGCTTGAGGGACATTTCATCACTAATCGACCGTAATGCCATGCTATTACTTTGTAATATCATAGTTGCCGAGGGAATCGCGCGTGGTGTGTTGCCTGTTTTGAATGCTGTTTGATTGTCTTATGATTGTGGTACGAACACTTTTCATATATACGCACGCGCAGAAACACATCTCCGTGTTCATTCGTTTTAGGCATGCGCATAAACGGAATTTTCTCCCACAATTGAAATGTTCAAGATTAGGGAATAAAAGCTGGCAAAGTGATTGTTCGAATGCGTACGGGACGGTGTCGTCAGATACTGTCCATAGTTGTGCCGATGATTTTCGATGAGGTACAGCTCTCCAATCAGAGGTAATGAGGTACGCTTTTGTCTTCTAAATATCCCTCATCAAGCATGCAAATTAGAACTAATTTTACCACGGGCAAAATTAGTTCTAATTTTGCCCGTGGTAAAAATTAGTTCTAATTTTACTCCATGTTTTAGTAATGAGGTAAATTAGTGATTAATCGTACCTCGCGAGACAAAGAATTTCGAGGCAACTATGGTATTATAATATATATATACCTGTAGCCTTGTGAGAATTTAGGTTATATCGTTATATTTCGAGCACAGAATAGGGGTCAATATCAAAGAGAAATATGTTCGTGAGCAAAACACAATATTACCAGAATCTATAATATAATTATTGTATATGATCTACGTAAATTCTGAGGTTTATTCTTGCTAAGGATATGAATTAATATTTTGTTGCAGCAGTAAATAGAAGAATTTGGTTGGAAAAGTCTAGTTTGTCGGTTTACGGATTGAGTGGCCGTCTAGAAATTCAATTTTAACCCTGGTAAGCAATATCAGAGCCGCCATCAGATGGGATTGACAGGGGTTTCAGATACATTGGTATTTAGACCATTTTACTTTTGGTATTACAGTATAGGTCGAAATACGGCTATAAACTTAGCTATATTTATTGAAACCTGGATATAAACTCGAACGGCGGAACGGGTATAGCGGTATATAAACCTATATTTACTCAAGGTTAAGTACTGCTAAGTGATGTATGTCATATGATCAACTGGTCTTAACCTCTTAGCCAAGATTTTGTATATATATATAGTAAGTATAGACCTAAGTAAAGGCCTTTGCCGTTGTACACTTTATACAGCAACTTACATGTCGCGTAGACTATCAGCTCGTTTGGGACACACTTCCCATATTGACCTCTTGTCCATACAAATATCTGATCCATCATACACTGACAGTCAGCACAGCTTTCATCGGAACAAATCGCATTTGACACGTTACAACCAAATACATTTGTGAATCTGTCGCGTTTTCCTCGGAATATTACCACATCCTTGCCGTTGGCTTCATATAACGCCGATGTTGCCAGGCAAAGACAAAACACCACAACTGACAATGATATAAACTGCATATTGAATAGTTAGTGCATGTCGAGGAATAATTAAGACTTTAACTTTCGATTCGAATCTTCGATGATAGTTTTACATCGAACATTTGTTCTTGTCGCACATAATCGACCCTAAACATCCGGAGTAGCTTTGTTTATCTTGAATCCAGCCGGCAGTTTGGTAAAAGCGGAAGCTTCAACAATGCATGGCCATTGACCAAGCCTGCTTAATTTGCAGTCAAGATTTGCAGTTGGGCGTGAGTGAGAGATCTGCATGCCCTTTGTTGACGCATATAAAATTCAATTTCTGGTAAGATCTCACCTTGCGCTCGGTGGGATGTCAGACAATAGACCTTTCCCCTTTTTGAGTGAAATTTTGATCTAGAGAAGTCTGGACAAAAATTTCATCACAGCTTGAAAGAGCATCACAAAATTAGTAATATTCCGAAGTTCCGATTCGTTGCGAAATGTTGTAAAATGCGGATAATATAGCCCTGCGAAGTTTGCCGTTTTTCAGTCATTTTGTATTACGCACGGGAAATTGATAATCACATGATCAAACTGATTATCAATTTCCCATTTGTAATACAAAATGACTGAAAAACGGCAAACTTCGCAAGGCTATATTATCCACATTTCGCAACGAAACTTCGGAATATTACTAATTTTGCGATGCTCTTTCAAGCTGTGATGAAATTTTTGTCCAGGCTTGTCTAGATCAAAATTTCACTCATGAGGGGATAGGTCTATTAGCTAGGATACACATGAAGGCTTTATCCGACCTGACCGGAATGGACATTTTTTGCAGGTTTTGCCCTACAGTATAGCATTGAACGGCAGAGTTGGAAAATACACGAAAAAATAAACATTGATAATTTGATAGACCTGAACAGACACTATTAAAGACGTAATTCGTCTCCTCCGCAGTGTTAGAGTATTGGAACCGACATGTAACAAGACACCATGTTTGCAGGGATAATTATAGTGAATACAAAAATAATTGATCCCACTCAACTGAGCTTCAAGGCAGGCCCGGCCTCATTCATCATTTATGATCGAAACAATTGTATCAGACTCGTCGAGCCGTACTGCCCACAACCTTTTGCCTCGCCCTGGCTGGGTGCAGTAGGTGTCTCGAGACGTGTAAGCTTTCAGTTCGTCTTTTTCAAAACCTCGAAGGTTTAATTAAAATCGACAGAAAAACATCGAACATGTCGATATATAATATTTTGTAGTCATCACTGGTATTTTTAGGCATTATTTTAGTTTTTGTTTTCTCGTAAATGACATAGATAGATAGATAGATTTATTTAACCACGCTAACCTCGTCAACTACAGCTGATTTCCACGAGGGGCGTGTGAACAAGAAGTATACAGCAAATATGAAAAGTATTTAAAAGCTATTTACAAAATAGAAAACATAGTATAAAATATTTAAGTATATGAGATAATAATGTATTTACAGATGCATATATTTGCTTTAATTATCAATGTGAGCAGCGATTTTCGTCCGAAAGGAGGAAAGGGATTTGCTCTCTTTAATTTCCTTTGGAATAGAATTCCAAAGGAATGATCCATCGTACATAAAACTTTTTTTCAAATTATTAGTCCGCGGTTGCGGTAAACAAAGAGTACTTGAAACGTTTCGAAGATTATAGCTAGTCATCTCACTTTTATAAGTGAATAAGTTAGTGAGTGATTGAGGGCCCATGTTATTTAATAATTTATACATCATTTTTGCCTTGGCTTTCTTCCTTTCTACTTTAAGTGTCTTCCAGCCCAATGCTTGCAATGCTACAGAATCAATGATCTGTGTCATTGCTCATATTCATGATAATTCGAGCAGCTCTGTTTTGGAGTTTTTGAAGTCGTTTTGATTGTGTTTCACCGAACACACCATATTTCACAGCAGTAATCGAAGTACGGGCGAACAATAGCATTATAAACAGAAAGAAGCGTTTGCCTGTCAACAAAATCCTTTAAACGTCTAAGAGCAGAAATTCCTGATGTTATTTTCCTGCAAGTATTTTCAGTGTTACTTTTCCACGACAAATGCTGGTCCGACTGTCACACCAAGAGTTTTGCACTCATGCTCTTGTTTAATCTGTTTGTTTTCAATTACCACATTTGGCTGCAAATTTGAAACGCTTTTAATCATTTGTTTTGAGCCAATTAACATAAATTCAGTTTTTGCAAGTATATCTTACCAAAACTCTTGTTCAGATTGGCCGATGCGGGGCACAGTAAGTAGCGACATCTATTAAAATCCACCCAAGTTCCAATCCCACGACCATTCAGCCCTGCTAGGGTTTCTGGTATATTGATATGTCTACACCATTTTACTTTTGTTTAATATTTGGCGTAAAACATGCACTGGCACTGCTTTCATTTTCAATGTAGCTGTAAGTTTCATGTTTTAATTTGTCACTAAAGTTTTTCTGGAGAGCAAATTAATTTCAACACTAGGCCGAACTGAAATTTGCTCAGAAACTTAATTGTTTTTATCAAGTTAAAAACAGTTTAAAAGGTGGCTCGCTACAGTTTATAGAAATGTTGAAAATGCGTAAACTAGATCACCTTTTTGAAGAGATGATGCTCTTTACAAATCGAAATTTGTATATTATATATACAGCGACAATCAAACAGTCGAAAATTGGTCAGAAAAGTGACGTCACCACTGTTGCTATGGCAACAATGACGATTCAAGATGGCCGATATTTTGGCTTTGAACGCATTCTACTTTAAAAAAAGGTCGGTTACCCCCATTTTTATTTCAGAAAACATGTTCTTATAGTGCAATACACTATCTGACAAATTTAAAAAAAATTCTGTAATGCCAAATTTTTAAAAAATTTATAAACATGGTTTTTCGAAATAATTTTTTTTTGGCATTACAGAATTTTTTTTTAAATTGGTCAGATAGTGCATTGCACTATAAGAAAATGTTTTCTGAAATAAAAAATGGGGGTAACCGACCTTCAAAATCGACGAAATTTGCTCAGAAACTTGTTTTTATCAAGTTAAAAACAGTTTAAGTTCTCGGTATGATTGCATGGCGATAAAATATATAACACTTTTTGTTTGTGGAAACACCACGTAAATTTATTACTGCAAAGCTTTCGATCCGTAAGCCCGGATCTTCATCAGTGCTAATAATATGTAATAATATGTGCTAATACCGCGTACGTGAGAACGCCATGCGAGCCCTGAAAGGATTAGCTTGGCCGCATCCTGAACGCTAAAGACCTTGTGCATCTGCATTTTTTGTTATCATGGTAAATTATTCTCCTTGAACTCAATGTTTCAGTTGCGCACGATAATTTGTTCAAATCGACGATGCGTCTTCTGAGTTATAGCCACTGTAGCGTTTGGTGTACCTCAAGGCTCTATCCTAGGTCCAATTCTGTTCAATTGTACGTTGCCGACCTTCACGAAAAGCTAAAGTGTCCGTGTTACCAGTATGCAGATACCACATATTATTAGCACTGATGAAGATCCGGGCTTACGGATCGAAAGCTTTGCGGTAATAAATTTACGTGGTGTTTTCACAAACAAAAAGTGTTATAAAAACAGTTTTCGACAAACGCAGTTTAGTTGAATGAACATTTTTGCCATTTTGCACAAAAAATCATAAAAGATTATCGTGTTGCTATGGCAACACTTGAGCTTGCGTTCAGTGTTGGCCAGCTATAGAGATTATCGATTTGCTTGTTTGCTTTAATTGGTTCAGTTTTGACAAATGGATTCATACCTATGAGGTATTTTTAATAATGAGGTATTTTTAATAAGCATATATATACTTCTCTAAAAATACTGACAGGGGGAGCTGCAGCCCTCTACTCCCCCCGCTCCGTCTTGTATGCGTATATGTCTCCACTATTAGTATCTTCAGCCGATGACCGATATATACGACGCATCGGGTATCACATGGTCATCATGTGCATCCTCCGGTCTTGGCTCAATCACAGAGATGTACGATGTGTCTCCTACATCATTTTCAATCAAATGATCTTCCTCTCCTATTTTATCTGGTTCCACACTTGCCTTTTGGTCATTGTTTACCGGTCCGTCAACAAAAGCATAGTCGTAAGTGAAGGTCTGAGGCGGAGCGGTCGCGGTTTCATCGATTTGCTCATAAATATGTTCGCAAGGTACTTCATACTGTTGAGATTCCCTTTGTGTCGAGTAGCTGTTTGAAGTTTGAAGTGGATTCAAAGGCACTGTTAATCCCTTCACGGTGGATGGTCGATTTTGATCTGTAATTTAACGATCAAATATAATTTATAGTTTAGTATTGACAAGAAATAGTCTAGTTTACTTGGAAAAATGTTGAAATCCCAAGATAGCATTTTCTTAACAATCTTTCTGTTATAGCTTTAGTAAATTCGTTTCGTCATATTGACCCAATTTTTTGACGTTCGATTTCTATAACTTAATTTAAAATATGAAGCCCTAAGACTAAGCTGAATTTGCTTTGAAACATTTAACAATTGAAATATTTTATTTTATTTTTTGATAAATCAGCTGAACTTGAGAAGAGTATGCATGCTTCACTTTTTGTAATGACAAAATGTCAAAAATACTTTGAAGAAACACTTGTATTAGGGAGTAATGCAAATGAACCTTCTGTATTTAATTTGTGTGTAGAGTTTTTTACGACAAGTTATAAAACTGACATTGTAAAATTTTCTTCTCTACCTATAGATGGCTAGACTTTTACTGCCAGTGCTCTGTGATGTTTTCACCATTTTTTGGAACATTTTATTTCAAAGCATTTTGCATTTTCTCGTAATATCCTGATTTCTTAGTATTCGTTATCTGATTTATAGATTACCGTCTTCGAAATATTTTCGAACAGCTATACCTTGGTTTTCTCTGTAGCCTTTCTTCGACCGAGCATGTCTATGAAGAACGAAAAATGTTTTTAAATTAAAACAAATATCAATTTTTTTTTTATAAAAATTGTTTTGAACCGCACACGATTAACGTAAATCTGGTTCTCACTTCGACCATCGGCGATAGACTTCCGCTGCGGATTATCTTGGCTCACCAAGGAGTAAAACCACATTTTCTCGTCTGAAATAATTTTCTCTTTCAACGACCATGAACAATGATACATGAGTGCACCGACAATTCGCGACATATGAGAACCAGGTTTTAATACATGCCAAATTTATGGCACTGATAGATATATCTTGTATACTAAATAAACTTCATTATTGCGCATTTCCATTTTGACTGGGTGCTGGCCTATAAATAGATATTCAGTTCATTGCATCGTGGGCTTAGTCACGAATTTTCGCGTGGTTTTTGTTTTGCTTATACTTTGACTTATTTATAACAAAATAATGCTCAATTTGTAAGTTTAGCGTGTCCTCAATTATGAGTGAAGTGTAGAGCTACCTTAATATCAATAGGATAAGAATTACTTTTAATTCTAGCTTTACCTAACTCTGGAAACAATGGACACAATCACTGCAGTGATACACCAGTTTACCTGTTTCTGCGTCTGTAGATAATTATCCCCACGATACCAGCTAGTAGCAGGACGACTATCACACAGACAAGTATAATTATAATTATACTTTGAGAATTGTCTTTATTTCCACCATTGCTCACTAATTCTGTATCCACATCGGTTTTTTCGGTTATGCCACCACCATTACCATCATCACCACCATTATCATCATCACCACCATTACCATCATCACCGCCATTACCATCATCACCATTACCATCATTATCACCACCGTTATCACCATCATCACCATCGTTATCACCACCATCCCCATCATCACCTTCACGGTCATCTTTGCCATCGGCGTCTTCTTCGCCGTCACTTGCATTTTTGTCATCATTACGAAATCCTGTAAAGGTTCCTGCGTATTTTATCACGACGCAGTGTTCAGCCTTTGTTGCAGTAGTATCCTCACACATAAACGGTATCTTGACAATTAATCCTCCCCAACTTTTTGGTGTCTTCTTCAAATTCCACTGTAACACCAAAAAGAATGTAACTTTGGCGGAATGCTTAATTATAAAACCCAACTATATACCACTATGCTACATGCTACACATGTATATGCTATATATGCGTGGTGAAAATAACTTACGGAGATCTCTACGTGCTCAGTTGAAACAAATTGGTTAAGACAATCCATAAATTGGTGAGACAATCTATTTATCGGAACCTATACCATCAAAAATAACCAACCAGAAATAACGCTACAGTGCTGTGCCCTGGAGCATGTGCAAAACAACTGCGCTACAAGCGTGAAGACATATACTATTTTTGATCTGAATAAATACCAAGGCTGACGATTCCAATACATCCTCTTCATTTGTATGATGTATATCATCATACGGTCATCCTTGAATCTATGATGTATATCATCATACAAGTGCACTTTTATGTGTATGATGTATATCGTCATGCAGACACATTGATAACCTGACCCTCACCCCCACTCTAGCCCTTCCTAACCCATACCACCAATATACTGGAACTCCTGCACATTTTAGATACCTTTAAAGATACTTTCCCTGCTGACATCGTTACATCGAAACTTCCATTCATTATTTTTAATGCTTTCCATGTATCATTGTGTATATATTGAGTTTTATTAGACAAGAGAAAGCATTTCGTTTTCTTCAAGTTAATTGTTTTCTCTTTCGAGCATTCTGACCCTTCTTTACAATTAGTTTTATTAACTATGACGAGCGACGAACCATCTGCAAATATCTCACACCCTACAGCTGAAAAGATAAGATATGGTTAACAAAGGATGAACCTTGTTATACTTGAACCATTTCTTACGTGCTTGTGTATTTTTCGAATCTGAAGAGCAAGGCTGGATTGACTGAACCTTTCTCGTGCATCGGTTGATTTGGTGGGGATAATTTTTATTTTGGTGTTGCTTTTCCCTTTACAGTTATTTATGATTTGAAAACAAACGAAGATTATACTTACTAGCTCCTAATCTTTGCAGAACTTCTCTTTTTAGAGACTTGTTTTTCAACCGGATTGTTTTGCTTTGCAACAGTCTTCCCGCTCATATCATTGAATGTACCTCTATTTCTCCCTTCAGAAACAACCTGTATTCTCACTAAACCTTTCCAAACTTGGATCTATACCTTTGACGTCAATCGAATTATGTGCACTTAGAAGACTTATTGGTCCAAGTGTCGTTCCTACAACCTAACTTTGCTGCTCTTAACGGTTCATTTCATCCACCTTTCATGTTAATATTTGTTCAAATATATAGCTTGTTAGTGTGTATTTGTGTCCCTAAATATATGTTATAACTATTGTTGCCTTTCTTGGCTTGGTCGTATATAATATGGTATTCTTGTCCTGTTGACTATACCCTCAACTCCATTTTCTCTTCATATATATATGCATGTGCATATTCTTAAATTTAATATCTATTTGTTCCTGTATAGAAGGTGGCAAAGTTAACAAAAGTATAAAAGTACACGTAAAAGAATCTCACCTTGCGAACACACATCTTTCTTTGTAGTATAACGCGTCCATTTTGTTAAGTCGGACGATGTGGCGGCTTTTGTTGTCACATACTTGTTGTTTCCATTGTACATGTATCTGCCTGACTGTAACTGTACGATGTTGTTTTTCTTGTCACCTACACATTTCCACAATTGCTTCTGATTATTCCTATCACATTTCTTCATCAGAACATAATTTGTGCGGTAGTCATTCGTCATACATTGCAAGGTCGCCCAGTTTAAGAGTTGTCCAAAGTTGGTCCAGATCCATAGGGAATTCCCGTATGTTTTACTACATAGATATCCTCCTTCGACAACTGCGTCCTTTCTGTATAGGTTTTGATAGAAACAACGTTGATTTTTGTTGTACAGGAGGAATGAGGCTTCATAAGCTGGAAAATATTTGATAGAAAAACATATAATGGCATATTTTGTTAGTTTAGATATATGAATCTACTTAACTTTGAAAGCACTAGTTTACTTGAAAAACGAGTGATGAGCGTAATGACCTTTTCATCACTTCTAGATCTAATTATATTTTCTAATTTACTATTTATGTAGTTTATGTACGATTTTCATAGTGCATATATAATTATACTAGGCGTAACCACAGGTTAAAAAGTGCGACCTGGAGACTTTAGTCACTAATGACAACGCGCCGGCTCACGCTGTTTTGGCCAGATAGTTGGTGATCATCCTTTACTTTTGCCAAAAGTCGGTCGGTCGGTCGGGTTTTTTTTATTTTTTATATAACGATTTGCATCAAATAAACATGCACATGACAAGGTACTTTATTTCATATTGTCTATTGATATATTGATTGATTGATTGATTGATTGATAATAGTATTTATTCAGGAAAACCAACATCACAAGTTGTGTTTTTCAGAAGGTCCCTGAGAAAACTATACAAATACAAAAGATTATACAATAATAATATGCATGCAGGTTATATGCGATGTATATATATAAACAAGAAAAGTTTTAAAAAATAGAACTAAGATAATTATATATTACAAAGAAGAGCTATTTGCAAAATGCGTTCGATTATACTATGGAAATTTAGGAAGTGCAGTATGAAAACTAGCTAGATGGTTAATTGACATATGTAAAAGTCGGCCCATTTACACTGAATATCCAATTTAGATAAATTTATCAAAATATTAACTTGACTGATTGGTATCCAATTACGTCACTTGCTACAAATTACATAACAAATAGTAATACATTTGTGATTATATTGTCGCTACGGCGCAAAGTCGCCTTCTATGAATAGCATGACGTGTCAATAACAATACCGATTGACAAAGCGCAATTTAAAGATAAATATTAAAGCCCGGCACATGACTTTCAAACAACAGACGTTTCTTTGTATACATCACAACATCCTCATGCACAGCATTTAATCTTTTTGATTATTTAAATCTGTCTTCAATAACAGATTTACAACAGTTAGTAGATGCTAAGTTAAGCTTCATTTGATGTACAATTTGATGAACAAAAGTTAAAGGTACATGTATGAAATTGCATCAGTATCGACGAGTAAATAAAACACTGGGCGGCATAACAGCGGCGGAAATACCGTTTCATGCGGTCTTCCAAATATGGAAATATGTTCCAAATATGGAATGCAAGCCGAGGTGAATCGGTGAATCTTGAGTCGGGGCTAATCCGAACTCAGCGGTATATTTAAATTTTCTACGCACAGACACAGATTAGGATGCTCCCAGCTCGCTCGCTGGTGCTCGCTCGCTGGTCGCAAATATATGCCATGCATGGAGATGCAGACTCGCTTGTAAAAATTAACACATGAACTGTTTAAGTTTATATATCAGTTTATGATCAAACGATAACCAAACTGTAGTAACCATTGTATAGGAATAAGATCTGTCGCCTGATTTAATATCAGGTCGCCATATATCAATGACCAACACTAATTGATCAATAAATTTGTTTAATAGAACAGTAGCGATTGGCATAGCAGGTGGAAAGCACATGCAATTTAGATAAATATATAGCCCAGCAAATGACATTCAAACAAGACATGCAGTTATGTAATACATGCAGCAGTGTTTTATCAGATATAAAGATACGAGGCGAAGCCGCGTGTATCTTTAGGTCTGATAAAACACGCACTGATAAGATAAGATAAGATATTTTAGCAGGGTGGCCCATTCAGCACTAAGCTGGTATCCATAGGGGCCCTGCGTATATAAATATATCTATTTACACAATAAGAAAATATAATAATTATATACACAATAAGAAAATATAATAATTATATTACTATAGTAATAGTAGATATATAAACTGCGAATGTTTTGCTAATATGTTTTACTACTATATTTCTATTATGCTACTATATTTCAAAACCTCATAGATTTAAATCAATCAAATGCTCTGACAATTTTGTGATGTATATACAACGAAACGTCGGCAAATAAATTTAATCTTTACTAATCACGTCTTGTTTGAAAGTCATTTGCAGGGTTTTTATATATTTATCTTTAAATAGATCAATAAATTAATCCATGCATTCATGTATTACGGAATAATAATACATGTATTCATGTATTACGGAATAATAATACATGTGTATATATAATCGTAACAAATTGTGGAACCGCACGTGTGCTAAATCTAATATGACCCCCTCTATACCACCCTATTACTGTATAAACATGTTTCCAACACGAAGTTAAAAACGAAAATGTAAATAGGAACAGGCAGGCCCTGAAACGAAGCATGTTACGTCTTTAGACCGAAACGTAGCGTATTTCTTTGTTTCCTGAGCGGTAGTGTGGAACTTATGACTTCGACATGAAAGAAAATGCTATACTGGTGCGTTACGATACGGTTGAAGTGGAAAACAGATTTAAATTAAACTACTTACATGCCGCGTAGACCATCAGCTCGTTTGAGACACAACCTCTTGTCCGTACAAATGTCTGCTCCACCATACATTGACAATAAGTGCAGTCTTTGTTGAAACAGACGGCATTTGTCTTGCCGCAACCGCGTATTTTGTCCTTAGGCTCAGCTATATTAGTGAATCTGTCATTTTCTCCTCGAACAATATCGATATCATTGCTGTTGGCGCAATTACATAATGTTAGGGTCAAAAGCAAGCAAATTGTTTCTTTGAAGATTAATATTGGTGTCTGCATGGTATTAAAAAACTCCAATCTTCAAATTGAACGATGCTGATATGGTAAACGCGTTCAAACTGACACTGTAGCTCTTCGAAATAATCCTTCATTAGACATAAAACATTAGACATCTGTGAATGAATAAATAAATATGTCTGCGAGTCTCCCGTGGATTTTGGCAGTCGGAATGATAATGCAGATATGAATTGAAATCTGACTGGTAATCAGCAATCTCTCAGCTTGAGTGCAATTCTAGCCACGTTCGGGAAGTCGATTGAATTCTCGCGCAGTCTTATTAAATTAACAAACGTTAAAGTGCCCGTAACCCCAAAATTGATTTTCGGCTTATTAAAAGTATGCTATGAGTGTAGCAGTTTCGCGAAAAAATTTTTGCTTTTGGTTAAAAAGCAAAAATTTTAGAGCCACTTGAACCTGCTTATATTGCGATTTTACTTGGCACATGGCCGTCGGAATATTTAACTGCTTGAAGTCTGGAACGAGCATTATTTCTGACGTCACGCAAGTTAGTTGTGGTTTCAGCAGGAGCGTGTTTCTATGTACATTTCAGTATAACAAGACGCTCTACGGAACGTTAGCCGATAGGACAATGGAAATATCAGCTTTAAAAAACCTGTGTTGTACAAATATATCACCGAAGAAGAGAAAGCTTGCTTGTTCGAAAATATTGATCTAAACTTGATCCAGTTTGGCATTTTGCTCAACAATAACAAGTATCGTATTAAATTGCAACGGAACTTAAATTGGCCTGGTGCTGATCGTGTCTGTATAATAGCGCGTTTGTTTTGTCGAAAATCATGATTTTCCAAGCTTATACCGTTTGCGCTAATAATCGTTGCATGATATATTTATGTTCTGTTATGTAAATTTATGTTCCAAAACGCATTCGCTATATTATTTGCAGTGGAATCGTAAATTTTGTGTCACTATACTGCCATTTGATATGTGCTTGAGATCTGCGAGTACAAAGTATTCGTTGCCCACTCTAACTCTAAGAAATATATGCGCACATTTCACAAGAACGCTTTCCTGTTAAAACACAATACTTTGATCGTGAAATGACTAAATACCACCGGTTTACATGTAGTGATCCGAACTTTGTGGTGACAGAATAGCGCACCAAATTGTAAGATAGTGTAAATTGTCTTGTCATATGATCGGTATGTGGCAATAAAATATTGCCACAGAGACAACTTAAAAGCATCAACACAACATATTTTATCCTTGGTGGATCGATCAGCGTAGTATAGAAACCGTGGCAAAGCTAGTTTCATAAAGTTGTGAAAATGCTCACTAAAAATGATCGTAAAATATAGAGAAGCTGCAGTTTAGTACGCGTGTGACAACAATTGCAAGTGTATCAAAGATCATGTAACCCGGCCTAGGTTGAACATAATATATTGTAAATTGTAATATTCCTGAAATACGACGATAATAACTTCGAAAGATTTACCATATCACCATGATGATTTTCAGTTCAAAGTTTTAGTGCCAAGACTCGTGTATTTACTTATTTAGTGGTGATATTCAGTAACTCGCGTGACGTCAGAAATTGTGCTAGACCCAGACTCCCGTACACGACGTCCATTGACCAAGCAATCCATAATTCAAGTGGCTCTAAAATGTTTGCTTTTCAACCAAACACAAAATTTTTTTCGCAATACTGTTCCACTGGTAGCATACTTTTAACAAGCTGAAAATCAATTTTGGGGTTACGGGCACTACGGGATCAAAACTGAATGGCTAAATTTGTTTAATAAATGTTTATGTGAGCCCGGTTTGCCAGAAAGCCCACCCGAGTGGGAAAAATTATATTTGTTCTTACTCCAGCTATAATATCCCGCGTCGATCGGACGACCGTAGTCATCATGTAAACATGCTATCTTCGAAGTTTTTTTTGTAATTAAATACACCCTGTATGACCACTTTATTGGGTCTGTTAGATAGAAATAAAAATAAACATTACATTGTATAGGTGAAAATCGGCATATGCATGCCGTTCTATATTTTATTATAGGTTAAAATACTATATTATAGGTTAAATAGGTTAATATATTATAGGTTAAATGCCCACCCGGTCATGGGTTGGATCAAACCCCTATACAAATATCGAAAATATGTTCTAGAACGCGGACTGGACTGGCTTGTGAAATGCGGACTCAAAATTTGTTAAACTAGTCCGCGTTTTGCAAATTCAGTCCGCGTTTTACAAGTCCAGTCCAGTCCGCGTTTTACAACATGTCTGGAAAATCTCGCCCCTGACCTCCAACAGCCTGTTCATATGCCGGGAGAGGCAAATTGTAGTAGTACTTTGATAGTTCGTAAAACTGACACCTTCCAAACGGGCGGTGTGTAAATAGGATCACAACGTCCAATGATCAAATGATCAACGATCAAAACGCGATTGCTCTTCGTAATGAGCAGAGCTCTGCATTGGGAATCTTAATGGACTTATAGCTATATTTTTTGGTTTCACAAAGGTGGATATTGATGCTAGAGAGATTTATTTATTTATTGGTTTCGCCCATATAGATTTACATGAATTTACATAAAAATAATGTAAACAAAGTGAGGTCTCAAAGATACCTATAGAGTCCACGACGATGGAAAGTCCACGCATTAAACTTTAGTTGATTTGGACTAGTACAAAATAATATCTTCCAGAATCATGAACAAACAGATTTCTCCTATAGTATCTCAATTGTACGGCAGGAGACAAATACAACAACTAACTTGAATTCATCGCTAATACCTTGGCTAAATATATGATTCTATACCAATACAGGTAAAATTAACTTAGTTAATTATGGTATAAACTTACAATTTTATGGTATAAACTTACAACATTTTAGTGATAATAGTCAATATTACGAGTTTGAGGGCGAATTTTTACAATTTCAGTTAGTGTAGTAACAGATGTGTCTTCACGTCGTAATGATTTAATGAAGCTCTTGTAGAACTCTTCCTCTGGGTTATTCAGCAACTGAAAATTGGAATGTTTTAATGCTTCTTCAATGGACAAGTTACGGTATGCAATCCTTAATTAAAGCCCTCTTTTGCACCGACTGGAGAAGATCCGATTGCAAAGAAGGTCAATCCTAATCAATCCGGAAGAACACATACAACACGACTGTTCATCCTATTTGCAGTACGAAGTAAAATTTGGTTGGACATATGTCCTTCCCGCTTCATTAGCTTCTTCATTTCTTGATCAGAGGTGCATAACGTGGAGCTTCGCTTTTATTATTTTTTAATGGCGGCCTTGCAAGTGGAGTATACTCGCCCTCCATTGCACTAGCATATATCAAGTCGTCTGCTTCATCTTTTCTTGCACCTGCTTGCTCACTTATTTTTTTACTATTGATCAGAGGCGTGTAGCCACTATCTTCACATTCATTTTTTAATGACGGCCTTGCTAGTGGAGTATACTCGCCGTCCATTGCATTAAGTAATCCATCTGGTTTATCCGTCCTCTTAGTTGCACCTGCTTTTTCTTTTCTTCTTTGGACATTCTTCAGATGTGTGTAACCGCTATCGTCACTCTCATTGTTGTTTATTGGCGGTCTTACTAGTGCAGTATACTCGCCGTCCGTTACACCAACACCTGTCTTCCCTGTTTTACTGGCTTCCTTGTTACGTTTTTCTTTAACATTTTTACTTTTGCCATTCTGTAATTGCAGCGCTCCAATTGAAGGATACTCATATTGATGGCTTTGGGGTTGCTCCGGATATTCGTATTTAGCGCTCTGAGGTATCTCGTACTTATGACTCCGAGGTTGCAAACCAAATGTACGATCGTTAGCGTAGACATATTCGTATTCGTGCTCCTGGTTTGGTGTCGTATAAAGTTGTGGTTGCCTCGGCGCCGGTTGGGAATTATTTCTTGAGGGATTAGCAGATCCTGTCAACTCATCAACCACGGGCGAAGAATCTTGATCTGTCACTTGAAGGAAAAGATTGAGAAGTAATTGTTAAGCATTGAGTAATGAAACATGCAAATGTTGTTGAGCATTGAATTAAAGTCTACAGAGGCCGGTTGTTCAAGGTGGATTATAGCGCTTTCCCTGGGTTAAAATTTAACCTGTTGTTGTTAGTTTGTTTATTTCTGCATCTCTATTTATTTAAAACTTTGGAAAATAAAACTTCTATTGATCCAGGCAAGATTTCTAGAAAAACATTTCCATGTTTAAAAACAAGCTGTTGGGAAGATTGCTTCGAAGAAATTGTTAAGCTTGCTAGGATTAAGCTCACCGACTTTTGAACAACTGGCCAAATTAGGAAACATTCTAGCCGAAACATTGAGAAATTTTCTGCGTTCATTAGTACAGGATACAAGATCATTAGTACAATTCCAGGATCATTAGGTTAATTATTAACTTAATTCCAAGATCGTTAGTACAATCCCAAGATCATTATTACAATCCCAAGATTATTAGTACCATTGCAAGATCATTATTACTATCCCAAGATCATTAATACAATCCCAAGATCATCAGTACAATCCCAAGATCATTAATACAATCCCAAGATCATTAATACAAGATCATTAGTACAATCCTAAGATCATTAAGATACTTCCAAGATCGTTAGTACAATCCCGAGATCATTAATACAATCCTAATATCATTGATACAATCTGAAGATCATTAATACAATCCCAATATCATTATAGTACAATCCCAAGATCAATAGTACAATCCCGAGATCATTAGTACAATCCCAAGATTATTAATACAAGCTGAGGATCATTAATGCAATCCAGATATCGTTAGTACAATCCCAAGATCATTAGTACAATCCCAAGATCATTAGTAAAAGTATTTCAAAAATAAAATGTCACAAATATCTTAGACATTGCGTGAGTGCATTTTGACCAGAATCGCTCCGCAAGGCTCATATGAAGATCATCAATTACTCAAAGATGTTTTATTCAAATTAACAAATAGTAACAAGTTAGCCAAAGCTGGAAAAACTAAAATTAGAGACAACAATGTATCGTATGCGATTACCTGGATTTTCTGTGTTACGGTTTTTTGAACGTAGAGATCTATGAAAAGAAAAAATGAAGTGAACAAGCATATTTGAAGATTTATTAGTTAAAACTGATTATTTTAGGTTGATGATTTTTCGGCAGCCAGTTGTAATAATGTCAGACAGGTTTTCACTTGTTATTACTCTGGTTTAAGTAAATGTATGTACAACCCATGCGAGCGAATTTGTGCATTCAGTTTCGAGGTGGAATTATGCTTGGGCATTTATCATTCGTTTTAGAACTCTATATTTACCGTTCACGCTAACTGAAACGAAATTCAGGCAACACTCCCTTGTGACATATCGCAAATTTACCTGCTTCTGCGTTTATAGACGATGATTCCAATCACTCCGGCAATACAGAAGAAAACCAAGACACAAACGATAATAATTATAATTAGGATATTCTTCTTGCCAGCACTATTGCTCTCCTGATCGTTGTGTAAATCTTTTCCATCGGCATCGATACCGTTTTTGGGTTTATCATTAGGTGCATGATTAGGATTATAAGATTTTACATCTTCTTCGTCGTAATTGAAACCTGTACATCAGGAAAATAAAATATTGTTTAGTATAATTTTATTACCAACCCAAACGAAATTCATTGCAAAGCGTCCATATTAGAATGCTATTCGCTTTATCGCGGCCATTCCAATGATTCCATTTGGTGCCTGCATTGTCCGTATTGGAGAGGATCCGTATAATAGAAAATATAATTATATGATAATTTCGTTCAGAAGTGCATGGGAAACTGCATGTCTGTAATTTAGGCCAATTCGAAGTTTCCACTGCGCATCCAAATGGGACGTTCTGCGCGTGGGGATAAATTTCAGTTGAACTACCGGGTGTCCCCCAAAAAACTGGACACTGTTTGATTTCATGTAACGTAAAAGCTATAAAAGCTATCGCAATGAAATAAAGATCATTGCTTTCAGAAAGGACTAATTTAGACTTTGATATATAGCACTTGAATTTACATGCAATATTGACTGCGGTATTGATGTTTGAACGTTTAACTATTGTATTTCTAAATGCTTTTGCATTAGCATAAAACAACCTTATAATCACCGATGCATAGTTATACTTGTTAAATAATAACTATTTTTATTTTGGTTGTATGTCGCTTAATATTGTATGTAACTGAATTCAAGTGTTATATATCAAAATCTAAGTTAGTACTTTCTGAATGCTTTCTTTATTTCATTGCGATATACTGTAGCTTGTATAGCTTTTACGTTACATGAAGTCAAGCAGTGTCTAATTTTTTTATGGGACACCCGGTATAATATGTACTTGAGTTAGGAAGAATTAGAATGCGCATATATCAGAGTACTCAGCTGTTCAACCAATTATTGCATGGTATCTGTAGGACAAATTAGCAATCTATGCATAATATAACTTTTGTAAACAAAGCAAGTTTTGAACAGTTGGACACTTTGATATGTATATTCTAGTTCTTTTGTTTAGGGCTGAAAAACGTATTTCAATCGCTCAAAATAATTCAGCCCCGGAGTTGCCCGTATTTACTATTAGAGAGGTACGTGTCCCCAAGGAGATATTCGATTGAAAACAACAAAAAACTGAAAATGTAGTTGAAGTGTACCTGTAAATATTCCCATGTATTTTATCACTACGCAATGTTCGCTAGTTGTATCCTGCGTTGTCGTACTTTCACACTGAAATTGCACCTTCACAATTAGCCCTTTCCAGCATTTCGGTGTTCTGTTTAAATTCCACTTTAAAACAACAAAAAGAGTTTTATTCAAACTTTTTATGTTTTTGGTATATATAGTGATTATAAGGTCGGTCAACTTAACTAAATTAGTATTGAGATTTGGCATTATTGTATACAATTAAAATACAGTTGTTCCAATTTCTTCTATTCAATTTATAAGGTCACACCAGTAATGCTATTTCTCATTATGTTTAGGGTAGTGTTCTGAATAATGAGCCCTGTATAAAGTGATTGTATATTCTCCTGTTTTAACATGATTTCAGATAAAACTATGAATTTTATAACATTACTTAAAATGCAGGAAATCGTGTTTCAGAGACCTAGAATCGACAATTTGCTTGTGGTTCATGCGGAAATGCCTCCCTAGATGAGCCCCACCTTGTTAAAATTTTAGGACTACACCACATCCCCCAGATTTGTGATACCTGCAGGGACACCTTGTCCACTGTAATTGCGAAACAGCCGTTCTTTATTTCCAATGCTTTCCATGTATCATTGTGTAAATATTGAGTTTTATTTGGCAGGAGGAAGCATTTTGTTTTGCTCAAACGGATTTCCTTCTGTCCCAAACATTCTGGCTGTTCTTCACATTTTGTTTTATCAAGGATGAGGAGCGGTGAACCATCTGCGAATGTCTCACATCCTACAGCTAAGAAGAAAATATAGGGAATGAAGGTACGTGGAATTTTTTTGTCAAGCTGTTTTTTAAAACTCGATAGTCGGTGAAAGTTTGCAAGCGAATTAAAGTGTAGCAAATATGAGTTACCTTAACTCTCATGGTACAGATAAACGAAGGCAAGGCAAGGGTATGGAATTTGATGGACTTATATTTTGGGCGGAAAATAATAATAATAATGGAAACTTTATTTAATAATTTTGTTATATACTATATATGTACAATTTTAAATCTCACTAATTAAGGTAACTTACAATTGGCTATTTGAATCACAACTATGAACTAATAATAATGACAAAACTGAATACATGAAAATATATAAATATACAAGACAATCAAATCTTTCAAATAGTTAACAAGTCCGGACTTTCCCATTCCTTATTTCGACAGCAGAAAATGTAATCAGTACTTCGAATGGCAATAGTCATCATTTTACTAACACAGTACGTTTGGTAGTTTTTGTCGAGACCAACATTTCCTAACATTTCTAAGAATGTAGAGCATTCTTGCGCAAAAATACCTAGGGAGCTCATGGAAAGATTAACAAAGTTTACTTCGTCGGAGTTTTCATCTAGCTGTCTTACTAGTTCTCTATATTTGGCTTTTTTCCGTTTAACGTTGTTCTCGAGATTTGTCTCATAGCCAACAGTGAGCTCGACCACATAGAGAGAGCCATTTGATAATGATAGCAACAAATCTGGGCGATACCTTTCACCAGTTATTATTGACGGACTTTTGAATCCGGGCACATCAGCGTAGAGGGCAGAACCGTTCACAGATTGCAAGGTATTGGCAAGAAAGTTCAGGATTGAATTGTACCTCCACGTAAATCGATCGAGATAACACTGACATCCAGCGACTACGTGCAATAATAATAATAATAATGATAATACTAATACTAATAATAATAATAATCATAATAATAATAATAAAAATAATAATAATAATAATAATAATAATAATAATAATGAAAACTTTATTAATAGAACATTCATAGATATATACAATTGTAAATCTCACTTCTTGAGGTAACCTGCAATTGACTACTTGAATCACTTATACATGCATGGTTATAATTTTATATACAAAAATTGTTGATTATTTATATAAATAGTTACTTTAAATGTTCATTAGTTCGGGATTAGTCCATTCTTTATTTCTACAGCAAAATATGTAGTACGTTGATCGGATGGCAATAGATATAATTTTTCTGATGCAATATTGTTGGTGTTGATTACCCAGTCCTAACTCATTTAGCATTTTTACGAATGTATGACATTCTTTGTCAAACACCCCTAGCGAACTGACAGAAAGATTTATAAATTTAACAGATGTAAAGTTTTGATCCAGTTCTCTAATTAGGTTTTTATATTTAGCTTTCTTGCGGTTAACATTGTTTGTGAGGTTTGATTCAAAGCCTACGGTAAGTTCAACAACATAGAGGTGTTTGTCTGAAGTGGAGACAAGTAAATCAGGACGATATTCATCTCCCGTAATAATCGAGGGGCTTTCAAATCCAGGAAGATCGACATGTAATTTGCATTCGTTTAAACTTTGAAAAGTTTTTGCAAGAAAGTTTAGTATGCAATCGTGTCTCCAAGTAAATCGTTCCAAGTAATGTTGACAACCGGCAACAACGTGTAGAAGTGATTCAGGGTGTAAGCAGAACGAGCAGTCAGAACTTGATGAAATTCCCCATCTACTGAGGTTCTTTCGGGTAGGAAGGGTATTATTTATATAGCGAATTGTAAAGTTGAAAATGTTCTTTGGTATAGCTTTGATTGCGATACCGACCAGATTGCGTAAAGTTGTGATAGGGAGAATTTAGAAACATTTTCGAAAAAGGAACCTTGACATTTCAAATGGTTCCTAAGTTTATTTTCTTGTTGAGAATGGAAAGTTTTTAAAACTTCTTTAGTTGAGTTGTAGCTATCAGAGTTGTAGCATGTTAGTATGATTATTAGTTGACTTCCACAGTTCGTTTATTGAATCGTTTGGAGATGTTTTTAGGGCATTGCGTAGAACTGTTTGACACTGAATGAATTTGACTCATGCAGGGAGGATATTTAGACCAAACTTATTACGAGTTACTGGGGTTAGAAAAACGTTACTTAGTGTTCCAGATATAGGTACTTCCAGCCATTTTCGGATATACTTGTTCACCGAAGAATCAATATTTTCGACTACCCAAGTTTTAGATATCGTAGCAACAGTAAAATGCCAGGATAGTTTCGACAAAACATAACGACTGTAAAGTAAAATTTTGTTTTTTGGGTGAAGAGGTTTAAGATCTATTTCGGACATTAGTTCATCAATGAGGGAAATCAGTTTTGATTTATGTTTTATCTATAATAATAATAATAATAATAATAATAATAATAATAATGGAAACTTTATTTATTTCATAATACTATATTTACATTGATAAACCTCGCTCATAAAGGTAGTTTATCGATGACTACTTGAAAAATATTTGGATTGTATAAATTTACAAAAATAGGAAATTTAATATTCAAAATTTTAGAAGCTCTGGGCTAGTCCAGTCTTTGTTTCGCTGACAGAATACATAATATGATGTGGGAATGCAAATAGCAATGATTTTCTTTTTAATGTATTTAATTTATTGTTCATCGAACTTCAGTTTTTTCAGCATATCAGTTAAGGTGTTCGTCGATTGACCAAAAACACCTAGCGAGCTTATGGATACATTAACAAATTTTATCTTATCATAGTTACTTTCTTGATCTGAAATAAGCGGCAGGTATTTTTTATGTTTTCGATATGAGTTAGTTAAGATTTGTTTCAAAGCCAACAGTCAGTTCCAAAACATATAAAACTTTATTTTCAATTACCAAGAGAAGGTCTGGACGTAACTGATCACCAGTGATAACTGACGGTGTAATAAAGCCAGGCAAATCTACGTAGAGTTTGGATCGCTCAGCACTCATAAGGCTGGATGCAATGAAGTTCAGGACTGAATTATGCCGCCACGTAAATCGCCCTTCATGTAGATATGCTTTACAACCAGAGATGACATGCAGGAGTGACTCAGGAAAAGAGCAAAAGGAACAATCAGCAGACGATGACAGACCCCATTTGACCAGGTTTTTCCGAGTAGTGAGGGAGTTGTTGATATAGCGGACAGTGAAATTAAATATATTCTTAGGAAGTCTGGATTGAACGGTGGCCATAAGGAATTGAATAATGACGTGGAGTTTTTGATGATACTTGAGAAGAACGAACCTTGTTTATCAATTTTCGATATAATATCATTAAACAGATCACACAATTCGGATTTGTGTCTTTCATCGGACATGTTGAAATCGAAACAACGACCAAGATAGCGGAAGAATTCTTCGAGTTCGATACGGGGTATAAGTTGGTTATTAACGAACAGCTTAGGTTGGTACTGGATAGACTTGGATGATAATAATAATAATAATAATAATAATGGAAACTTTATTAAATGTTTTTCTTTACATACATATACAATCGTAAATCTCTCTCATAAAGGTAACTTACGGTTGGCTTTTGAATCACAATTATACTAAACTAAAATAACAGAACAAAGTGCATGCAATATATATATATATATATATATATATATATATATATATATATATATATATATATATATATATTTATAACAAAGTTTTGTTATTGCAGTAGATTAAAGAGTGCTCAATACAAAAATTGGTAGAGCAATATTTATTTAATCTTAAAAATGGTACATGTTGCGACATATACCATTTTTAAGATTAAATAAATATATATATATATATATATATATATATATATATATATATATATATATATATATATATATATATATATATATATATATATATATATATATACCTAGCTGTCTCAATAATTCTCTATATTTATCCTTCTTCCGTTTTACGTTGTTTTTGAGGTTTGTCTCATAACCATGCAGTGGTGAGTTCAGCCACATATAAGGAACCATTTGAGCACGATAATAACAAATCTGGGCGATACGTATCACCAGTAAGTATTGAAGGGCTTTTGAATCCATTTAGATCAGCGTAGAGAGTAGAACCGTCAACAGTTTGTAAAGTATGAGCAAGAAAGTTCAGGACTGAATTGTGTCTCCACGTAAATCGGTCGAGATAAAACTGACATCCAGCTACTATGTGTAGTAATGTTTCAGGGCTAAGACAAAAAGAACAGTCTGAATTTGACGATATTGCCCATCTGTTTAGGTTTTTGCGCGTCGGAAGAGAGTTGTTAATGTAACGAATGGTAAAGTTGTAAATGTTTTTCGGGAGCTTTGATTGGGCGATGGACCACACCTTGTTAAGCTGAGGTAAAGCGAACTTCGTGACGCTGCAGAAAAAGGATCCTTGACTGGTTAATTGCTTTAGGAGTTTGTTTTCGTGTCCAGAACGGAAATCTTTGAGAACTTCCTTAGTAGAGTTATAAGCGTCATATTGGATATTAGCATGGTTACTGGTTGCTTTCCACAGGTCGTTAGTTGATTCACTAGGAGAAAATTTTAAAGCTTTTCGGAGGACTGTTTGACACTGGATAAATTTTACAGATGGAGGATAAATACTCAGGCCAAATTTGTTATTTGTTAGAAAGACAGTACTTAGTGTTCCTGATATTGGTACTTCAAGCCATCTGCGGATATAATTGTTGGCAATAGAATCGATATTTTCAGTAACCCATGTTTTAGAGAGTGTTGCGACGGTAAAGTGCCAGGCTAACTTGGACAAGACGTAGCGACTGTAGAGGAGCAGTTTATTTTTGGGGTGTAGTGGCTTTGAGTCAGTATCAGACATTAGTTCATTAAGTAGGGTGGTTAGTTCAGTTTTGTGATTATCATTCGACATGTGGAAATCAAAGTAACGTCCTAAATATTGAAATGATTCTCAATGGTGATTTTTGGTATTAGTTGATTGCTGATGAGGAGTTTTGGCAAGTACTGAACTGATTTTGTGATCGCTTTTTTAATGCCAAAGGTACTGCATTTGTCAACTCGAATAATCATATCGGACCATAATAATAATAATAATAATAATAATAATAATAATAATAATAATAATAATAATAATAATAATAATAATAATAATAATAATAATAATAATAATAATGAAAACTTTATAGAATTTTTTATGCACTTACAATTGAAAATCTCACTGTTAAAGGTAATTTACAATTGGCTGCTTGATACGCTATATATTACTACATTTACATAACACATGGACATAATTATATGATACAAAAAGTAAGAGACTAACTAGAAGTTCATTAAATCTGGATTCGACCAATCCTTGTTTCTAGAACAGAAAACGTAATATGTCGTTCTTATTGCAATGTTAATGATTTTCCTAATGATATATTTAACACCGGCTTTATCTGAGTTTAAATGTTCCAACATTTGTATGAAATGTGAAGATTCTTTTTCAAAAACACCGAGTGCACTGATTGACGGGTTAATGAACTTTACCGGCCGGAATTTTTTCTTTTGTTCTACGATCATCTCTTTATATTTTGAATATTTGCGCTGTATGTTATTTCTCAGGTTAGTCTCATATCCAACGGTTAGTTCGAGTACATACAGACAATTGTCTTTGGTCAAAATTAGTAGATCAGGACGATGGTCATCACCAGTAATAATAGAGGGATTAGGGAATGACGGTAAGTCAGCATAAATGGTCTGAATATGTTCTGATGGGAGGTTATTAGCAATAAAATTTAGGATTGAGTCGTGTCTCCAAGTAAATCGATCAAGATAGGAACTACAGCCAGCAACAACGTGTAACAGAGATTCAGGTTTAAGGCAAAACGAGCACTCAGAGGACGAGGAGAGTCCCCATTTTTGAAGGTTTTTACGGGTTGGTAGCGAATTGTTTATGCAGCGAATAGTGAAGTTGAAAATTTTTTTGGTAGTTTGGATTGACAGGTTGGCCAAATCGAATTTACTTGGAGTAGTGAAAATTTTGAGATGCTGGAGAAGAATGAGCCTTGACATTTTAACCGATTTTCCAATTTATCTTCATCAACTTCACGGAATGACTTGATTACTTTTGTCGACGTATACTGATCATATTGGGTGTTAGTATGATTACAGGTCGATTTCCAGAGGTGGGTTATTGATTCGTTAGGAGATGACTTCAAAGCACTGTGGATAGTTGTTTGACATTGTATGAATTTAGTTGATGGGGGGATAATGTTCAGACCAAATTTGTTACTGGTTAGGTAAATGTTACTAAGTGATCCATGCAGAAATAGGTACCTCAAGCCATTTACGAATGTATTGTTTGAAAACTGAGTCCAGGTTTTCAGAAATCCACGTTTTTTGAATTGATGTTATAATGGAAACTTTATTAAATGTTTTTCTTTACATACATATACAATCGTAAATCTCTCTCATAAAGGTAACTTACGGTTGGCTATTTGAATCACAATTATACTAAACTAAAATAACAGAACAAAGTGCATGCAATATATATATATATACAATGAGATAAGTCAAATTGTTAGTAAATCCGGATTTTCCCATTCCTTATTTCGGCAACAGAAAATGTAATATGTAGTTCTAATAGCAATAGTCATCATTTTCCTAACGCAGTACATTTGGTGGTTTTTGTCAAGACCAATACTATCTAACATGTCTAAAAATGTATAACATTCTTCTGCAAAAATACCTAAAGAGCTGATGGAGAGATTTATAAATTTAACTTGGTTAAAATTTTTACCTAGCTGTCTCAATAGTTCTCTATATTTATCCTTCTTCCGTTTTACATTGTTTTTGAGGTTTGTCTCATAACCAGTGGTGAGTTCAACCACATATAAGGAACCATTTGAGCACGATAATAACAAATCTGGGCGATACGTATCACCAATAATAATAATAATAATAATAATAATAATAATAATAATAATAATAATAATAATAATAATAATAATAATAATAATGGAAACTTTTTATTATATATTTACGATATACTATATATACATTGATAAACCTCACTTAATAAAAGGTAGCTTATCGATGATAATAATAATAATAATAATAATAATAATAATAATAATAATAAAAACTTTATTGAATTTTTTGCGTATATACAATTGTAAATCTCACTACTGACTTAGGTAATTTACAATTGGCTACATGAATCACAGAGTACTACATATGTACTATTTACAGTAAAAACAAGAATAAAATGGATATATGATTATATATATTATTATATGTAGTTATTAATTTAAATGTTTAACAATTCAGGGTTTGTCCACTCTTTGTTTCGACAGCAAAAAAATATAGTACGTCGCTCTAATGGCATAAGACGTCATCTTTTTTATGCAGTAATGTTGCTGCTTTATAATAATAATAATAATAATAATCATAATCATCATAATCATCATAATAATCATAATAATCATAATCATAATAATCATAATAATAATAGTAACAATAATAATAATAGTAATACTCAAACGGTTTCGATATGCTCAAACGGTTTCGATTTTCGATAGGCTCAAACGGTTTCGATATGTCGGCGAAAGATACCGCCTTGATTAATGAATCGCAGTATACGAATCAAACGAATGAATTGCAAACAACAACCCGCCACGATTTGCATAATAGTCAACATGAAATTCCGGGGGCACTCGACCAGAACAAAGACAATGCAATTATCTCGGGCTGTCTTCCGGAGTATAATAATGTAAATAAACCACCTATATGATTAATTGGGGGAAGCGAGGCGATGGACGAACAATAGTTATATCGACTTCAGACATTACAGATGCATATGATGAAATTACAACTTGGAAAAAGAATGTTTTTCTAGTGCCATACGGGAAAATAGGAAGGGATTTTATCGATCAAATAACGATGCATATAAACGACTGGAATAGCGGTTCGAAAAATCAACATGTTTCCCTAAAAGCTGTTTTTGTACTTCTCGCCGTTGGGCTTCAAAAGCCAAACCCGAAGTCCAAGGCAAAGGACCATCAAGATGCCTTGTCAAAGCGACTTGCACTTTGGAAGGACGGTGAGATCAGTAAGCTAATACGTGAGGGACGAATCATACAAAGTCGTATTGGAAAATTTAAAGGATCAAACCACCCCCCGATAAAGCTAAAGTCTTTGCTAAGCTTCTGCTAGAAGGTCAAATCAACTCAGCCCTTCGCTTCCTGAGTGAAACCACAAATGGCGGCGTGTTAACGTTAACTGACGATGTAATGACGCAATTAAAACAGAAGCATCCTGAGCCACAACCAGCAAAGCTCGGATCGGTATTATTTGGCCCGCTCAATGACGAGATACCCGAATCTATTTACTCACAGATCAATGGTGAGATGGTTAGACAAGCCGCTTTGAGAACAAAAGGATCCGGAGGCCCGTCTGGTGTCGATGCTAACGGCTTTAGAAGAATGTTGGCATGTAAGTCCTTTAAGCAATCATCTACAAGACTGTGCGAAGCTATAGCCAGAATGACCAAGACTTTGTGCACACAATATATCGATCCTACCACTATTGACGCATTGATTGCTAGTCGTTTAATTCCCCTAGACAAAGGCGAAGGTGCGGTAAGACCTATCGGAGTAGGAGAGGTAATAAGGAGGATAAGTGCAAAATGTGTTATGAGCTTTGCAAAGAAGGATGTTGTGGAAGCAAGTGAATCGTTACAATTATGCGCTGGGCAAAAGTCTGGAAGTCAGGCCGCAATACATGCAATGAACACCCTGTTTGAAGCTGATGACATTGATGCTGTTTTACTTATCGATGCTTCCAATGCATTCAATGCACTCAACAGAACTGTGGCTCTGCATAACATCCGTGTGTTATGTCCGATAATCGCTGCCTACGCTATAAACACCTACAGACAGCCAGCTCGGCTGTTTATTGTTGGCGGCAAAGAGATTGCGTCAGCAGAAGGAACCACACAAGGAGATCCTTTGGCAATGGCCTTTTATGCGATAAGTACCCTGCCTTTGATCACGAGTCTACAGGCCGCATCTACCGTGAAGCAGTGTTGGTTCGCAGACGATGCGAGTGGAGCTGGTCGTGTGACACAAATCAAAGATTGGTGGGATGCATTGAATACTCTTGGTCCAAACTTGGGATATTTTCCGAAAGACGAGAAATGCTGGATTATTGTTAAGCCCGAAAGGAAGAAAGTGTGAGAGAAGTCTTCCATGGAACGGATATCAATGTAACAGTGCATGGGCAGAAACATCTGGGAGCAGCGCTAGGTTCACGAGAGTATCTGGAGGAATATGTTAATGAGAAGGTCTCTAATTGGGTCAACGAAGTGACAGAATTAGCCGAATTTGCACTGTCCCAACCACAAGCGTCCTATGCCGCATACACATTTGGTTTGAAACATCGTTGGACCCACTTCCTAAGAACCCTGCCAGACATCCAGGACCTACTAGAGCCACTCGAAAAGGCAATATCGCAGATTCTCATCCCCGCTATCACAGATCACCAGTGCAATCCACTCGATCGGGACATTCTAGCACTTCCAGCACGTCTGGGTGGCCTGGGCTTGGAAAATCCAAGTCATGAGGCAGAACGTCAGTATGTGTCGTCAAAAAGAGTGACAGCACCCCTTGTTGATCAGATTGTAGCGCAGTTCCATCAGCTACACGACGAGTCGCATATAAAATCAGCGCAACAAGCCGTTAGAAAAGAAAGAGTGCAAGAGTTAGAGGAGAGGGCAGAGCGTATTAGAGAGAGTGCACCACCAAGAATTCAGCATATATTAGATATGGCTTCGGAAAAAGGATCATCTGTGTGGCTCACAGTACTTCCCCCAAAAGAGCAGGGATTCAACGTGAATAAGAGAGAATTTCGGGACGCCGTAAAGCTGCGCTATGATTGGCCAATCGACGACATCCCCTCCATATGTGTATGTGGGGATACCTTCACGGTCGACCATGCCATGATCTGCAAACGTGGAGGCTTTGTAATTATGCGCCACAATGAGTTAAGAGATCTGGAAGCGGAACTCCTCAACATTGTCTGTAGTGGGTTCTGGGAAAGTCAACGATCAGCCTTTTTTGATGTAAGGGTTTGTCATCCCAATGCTGATTCGTACAAGGACCTGGAGCGACGCCAAGTCTACAAGATACACGAAAGCGAGAAGAAGCGTCTATATGCAAGGAGAGTCCTCGAAATAGAGCAAGGAACATTTACGCCACTCGTATTCACCACCGCAGGCGGTATGGGCAAAGAATGTGTGAGATACCATAGTAGATTGGCAGAGTTGGTAGCCATGAAGAAAGGCGAAGATTATGCGACACTATGAGTTGGATAAAAGCCAGAACCTCTTTCGCTTTATTGAGATCGGCAATTACCTGCTTGAGGGGTTCAAGGGCAAGGAAAATCATGTGTGATATTAAGAACATTGATTTCAACATTGAGAACGCCGAGAGTGCTACCTCTCAAACATTTTAGATTGTACATATACAAAGTTTAGTTATTTTAGCGGAATATCTTTAGTTATTTAGCTACTTAGCGGTAAATATTTTAATTATGTAGCGGTATATGTTCCAGAGTTTGTTTTTAAAATTTAACTGTACATATCAACAAACATTTAGACACTTTTTTAATTATACCCAAAGAACAGATTATTTAATATAGTCATTGATAACAAAAGAATTATTGTATATAATGAAATGATGAATAAAGTTGTATTATTATTGTTATTATTATCATTATTATTATTATTATTATTATTATTATTATTATTATTATTATTATTATTATTATTATTATTATTATTATTATTATTATTATTATTATTATTATTATTATTGTTATTATTATTATTATTATTATTATTATTATTATTATTATTATTATTATTATTATTATTATTGTTATTATTATTATTATTATTATTATTATTATTATTATTATTATTATTATTATTATTATTATTATTATTATTATTATTATTATTATTATTATTAGCCACCTACTTGTACCCCGTACCGAAACTGGTGAATCTTTCCGCTACCTTGGTCGTTATTTTAATTTCAACATGTCAGATGAAAAACACCAATCGGATATATGTGACTTGTTTAATAATATCATATCTAAAATAGATGAATTACATTTGCACCCCCGAAATAAAATCCTGCTATACAGTCGCTACTTGCTCTCGAAAATCTCATGGGACTTCACAATAACTGATATATCTCAAACATGGGTTTGCGAGACTTTGGACGGTATTGCTACTAAATATATACGAAAATGGCTCGAACTGCCAATATCTGCAACTCTAAGCAATGTCTATCTCCCTTACAACAAATTTGGTTTAAATGTCATTCTACCTTCAGCGAAGTTTATACAGTGCCAAACTGTCTCACGCTTAGCTTTAAAGTCATCGATAAATGAAAACATACGTGAATTATGGTCAATAACAAGCACCAATAGGAACATTCAGTACGACATTTACTCAAACACAAAAGATGTATTGAAGGCATTTAGACAAAAAAACGAACAGCGACTACAAAATAACCTAATGTCACAAGGTTCTTTTTTCTCAAACATCGTGAAAAACTCCACGTTAACGTTGGCATTCAATTCCCTATGATCATCGGTTCATTCAAAACTTCCTAAGAACATATTTAACTTCAGTCTACGTTACATCAACAATTCTTTGCCTACTACAGTAGGAAAAACCTAGTTAAATGGGGTCTGTCATCATCTGCTGACTGTTCGTTCTGCTTCTGCCCTGAATCGCTTTTGCACGTAATCTCTGGATGTAAGACATATCTAAACGAAGGGAGATATACATGGCGACATGATTTAGTTTTGAATCTCGTTGCTCCAGCCTTCTCGACGTCGGAAGGTCCAAAATGTATGTAGATCTGCCTGGATTTATTAGCCCATCTGTCATTACTGGTAACGAGTTACGACCAGACCTTCTACTGACAATTGAAAATAAGATTTTGTACATTCTTGAATTAACTGTTGGATTCGAAACAAACCTGAAAACTAACTCAGATCGAAAACATGAAAAATATTTGACTCTAATTACCGATCAAGAAAATATATATGATGAAGTTAATTTTGTTAATGTATCTATAAGCTCTTTATGTGTAATTGGTGAATCTACGAATACTTTATTTGATATGCTCCATGATCTGAAGTATGACGAACAATGTATTAAATATGTAAAAAAGAAAATAATTGCTACTTGTATTCGCACGTCTTATTATATATTCTGTAGACGAAACAAAGACTGGAACAACCCAAAACTTTTCAACTTTTAACTAAATTGAAAAGATTTTCACCTGTATATACATTTTAGCTTTATATTCAATTCAAGTGGACATCGATAAGCTACCTTTTATTAAGTGAGGTTTATCAATGTATATATAGTATATCGTAAATATCTAATAAAAAGTTTCCATTATTATTATTTTTATTATTATTATTATTATTATTTTTTCTCTTCAATACTTACTGGTGATACGTATCGCCCGATTTGTTATTATCGTGCTCAAATGGTTCGTTATATGTGGTCGAACTCACCACTGGTTATGAGACAAACCTCAAGAACAACGTAAAACGGAAGAGGGATAAATATAGAGAATTATTGAGACAGCTAGGTAAAAATTTTAACCACGTTAAATTTATAAATCTCTCTATCAGCTCTTTAGGTATTTTTGCAGAAGAATGTTCCACATTTTTAGACATGTTAGAAAGTATTGGTCTTGACAAAAACCACCAAATGTACTGCGTTGGGAAAATGATGACTATTGCTATTAGAACTACATAATATTACATTTTTTGCTGCCGAAATAAGGAATGGGAAAATCCGGATTTACTAACAATTTGACTTATCTGATTGTATATACATATATTGCATGTACTTTGTTCTGTTATTTTAGTTTAGTATAGTTGTGATTCAAATAGCCAACCGTAAGTTACCTTTATGAGAGAGATTTACGATTGTATATGTATGTAAAGAAAAACATTTAATAAAGTTTCCATTATTATTATTTTTATTATTATTATTATTATTATTATTATTATTATTATTATTATTATTATTATTATTATTATTATTTTTATTATAATTATAATTATTATTATTATTATTATTATTATTATTATTATTATTATTATTATTATTATTATTACTTACCGTCTCTGCAACCCTTAGCAACGTGTTGCTTCCACAAAACAAATTTGGTCTGAATATTATTCTCCCTTCGACAAAATTTATCCAATGTGAAACTGTCTCTCGATCAGCTTTAAAATACTCACCAAACGTAGATATTAACAATCTATGGGCGGTGACGAGAACCAACAAGAACGTACAGTATGATATTTACAAAGACTCAAAAGACGTACTTAAGGCAGTTAGAAAAGAAAACGAACAAAGACTTCAAAACCACCTCATTTCGCAAGGTTCTTTCTTTTCCAGTATCATGAATCATTCCACATCCACATTCAACTGTTTATTGTCATCCGTTCAGAGCAAACTTCCGAAAAACATTTTTAACTTCACCATCCGATATATCAATAACACACTTCCAACACGAAAAAACCTATCAAAATGGGGACTATCATCAACACCCGATTGCTCTTTCTGCTCCTCACCTGAAACGCTGCTCCATGTGATTGCTGGATGTAAGACATATTTAGACGAAGGCCGGATTACATGGCGACACGATTCTGTTTTAAATTTCCTCGCATCCACTCTTACTGCTGTAAAAAATTCCACACTTTAAGCGGACATTCCTGGTTTTATGAATCCATCTGTTATCACGGGAGATCGTTTACGACCTGACCTTCTGCTGGTGACTGAAAACAGATGTTTATACATCCTCGAGCTTACAGTCGGTTATGAATCCAATCTGCAAATTAACGCCAATCGTAAGCGTCAAAAGTACCGTGATCTAATCAATGGGCAGAAAGCAGATTATGATAAAGTCAAGTTCGTTAATTTATCCTTGAGTACCCTCGGAGTTTTTGGTCGATCTTCTGAAAATTTCGATGGCATGCTAAGTAGCCTTAAATGTGATGCCAAGTATAGTAAATACATAAAAAAGCAAATCGTGAACATATGCATACGAACATCATATTATGTATTTTGTAAACGAAACAAGGTGTGGGATAACCCAAAATTAATGTTAATATAATCCTTCTTAAAATAATTATTGTACAATAACTATATAGTTCAATTCAAGTAGACATTGATAAACTACCTGTAAAGCGAGGTTTATCATTGTAGTTGTATATATCCTAATAATCAATAAATGAAGTTTCCATTATTATTATTATTATTATTATTACGATGTCGCGACAGCAGCGATCGAAATTAAAATGGACAAAGCAAATGAATACAGATCTGCTAGAATGTAAGAAGAAAGGGATGGAATTCCATAAATCGGAAAACCAGCCATGCCATGTGAACGGCAGAAAGAAAAGCTATATACAAGTCATGAAAGATCTGTGGGACAAGAAAAGATACGAACATCTTGGATTGAAGAGCCAAAACCTGCGAGATCAAGCCGCTAGGCTTGAGAAAATTAACTCTGCAGCTGAGACTCGTGCTATCGGTAAGGTAAGCGGCGGAGCGGTTTTTCAAATTTTTTAAAAAAATAGTTTTTAAAAAAGTTTTAGGAAGTTTTAAAAGAGTTTTGAAAAGCAAGAAAAGTTTAAAAAGTTAGGTTTTTAAAAAATTTAAAAAAATTTAAACAGTTAAAAAAATTAGGGTTAGGGGTTAGTGGTTAGGGGTTAGGGGTTAGGGGTTAGGGGCTAGGGTTAGGGGTTAGGGGTTAGTGGTTAGGGTTGGGGTTGGGGTTAGGGTTAGTGTTAGGTGCCGCGAATTTATTATTATGATAAATTCAAAATTTGCCGCGAATTTATCATAATGATAAATTCGGACGTGTTTAAGAATTTACTCATATAGTAAATTGAAAGGTGGAGCTCATGCTGTGAATATTATTATTATTACATCGAGCAGAGACACGTTTATACGTGCTCTGTGCATGTCAATATTTTCATCGCTGATTTCGTATTTGAATCACAGTATTTCGTAATAATTCTTTCATTATGATTTGTTCAAGCATTATTGCTATGTGGTCAAGTCTTCGTCTCGCTTGGTCCACATTCGTGGCGATATAAACAACGGATTAATCACGCTTAACAAGCCGAGACTACCCTAATATTACATCGAGAGAAGTGCCTGTTATGCAGTCACCTAATGTTCCTTTACCAAGCCGCACTGTTGTTAAGTGTTGTTGTGGGAAGATATGCAAAGGTGGTCGTGTAAAATGCATCAGCGCAGTTGTCAGATGATACATGACTTTAGCGACGAGCTGTCTGCTGATCTTGAAGAGCGAATAACAACGGATAACACAGCAGAAAATGAAAATGACAATTCTATTAACGACATTGATATGACTAATGACGAAAGTTTTCCCGAATTGAAACAAGGCATAAATTTACCTAAAAATGACTCTGGGTGGAAACGGCTAATTGCTGATGCAGCGAGCTAGCCTAAAACGAGCGAGCAAGTCGGCAGTTTTAATTCGTATTGGGCTCTGAAAGTAAGATTTTACTTCCCTTTCTCCGACCAGAATGAACTGCTGTTAACCGATCACAATGCATTGCTGTTAATCGACCAGAATGCTTTGCATGCATGATGCTACAAATACGGGGAATCTCATTATAGTCAGTTTATATAAGCCGGTAACGATGCAGTTCTTTTGGTGTATTTTGTATTCATTGATTTCTGGCTGGTATTACACTAGATATACTGAATTTATTTATTACAAACAATTTATAACGCTTAGAAAGCGAATTTATGCATTTGTGCTCTTCGCCTTGTTTTCTTTTGTCTTTTCTTATTTCATTTAGCACTTAGCAGAAAACAACATTGTATTTGCACGCCTGAAAGCGTTTATTTTGTATTAAACTTATTCATTAGCGTATCCAGTCCGACGATTTAGTCCCGCTATGCAAATATTCTCGTGTTCATTGAGTGTGAAAACAATCAATTTCTAAAGAAAGAAATAATGATAATAATTTTGAATTTGCATAGCGGGACTAAATTGTCGGGCTGGGTACGCCACTGAACTTCAGTTATTATGTTTTATTACTAGTAAAACAGTTTATCGGCAAAATGTAGTTTAGTTGAATGAACATTTCAAAACATTTTACGAAGCGTTTCAAGTTAAATTTTACCGATTAAATCATAGCTCACAAAATGCAAAATAAAATAGCTACACTATACATTTCGGAAATTTATTGTTGTATAGTTAAAAGTACGGATCTTTCAACTATTTTTCAGTTTTGTACAAAAAATATGAATAAATTATGATATAAGAATATCGTGTTGTCATGGCAAGACATGAGCGCGAGCCTGCGTGTACTTCATGTTAATTTAATGTTTGGAAAATATTGGCTAGGGTTTACTGCATGCATGTATTTCTAGTAAATAATTTGGTTGAACTACTATAACGACAATACTCAATAGCCCACCGACATACCGCAAGTAGTATAGATATATGTGAATGTATAGATGTATGTATTTCTGCTTAAGCATTTAAAAGTCTGTGCTTTATCACATAAAACACTCCAGCTGCGCTCTCGTATTTTATATCTGACAAAACACTCCTGCCCGCGTTTTAATCCCCGAGCCGACGGGGCGAAGCACCGTTCGAGGGTAGTAATTCCGCCCGGCTATTTACACCCGGGGTAAGGAACGCACTAGCGAAGTCTAAAGTACTCATCTATATACATGGAAGGCTGACTTCAGTTATTGACGTAATCAAAAAGTGAAGCCAAAGATGGCGGATTTTGAAGCCATACTTGCGCGTCATTCTCAGTCCCCTTCCGTGCGCGGCAAAATATTTTTTTATATTTTCATGGCGGGAAGTGATGGGTCCGCGACTCTCCTTCATTTGAAAACAGAAAAAAGGAAATTAACTTCATTTATTTCATGTAAACCTGATTTCCTTCATCTAATCGATCTGTCTACTGCATTTAATTTCCCAATGTATGTGTGAGTAAATCTGTATTTTTCGTTGCGAATTCAACAACTAATTTCAAACTTTCTTTGTTTTTTTTTATATAAAATCTATATTTTTATAAACTGGGAATTTATTTTTGCTTTTGTTGTTTCGTTTTCTTGTTTCTATGGTGCTTTTCAGTTTTCACACCATTATTTAGCTTATTTTAGTCCGTTTTCCTGACCTAAAACTGCTTTTTAACTGCAGTTTTCGAGGCAGTTTTTAGCCAATTTAATTCCATAC